CACAAAAAAAACTAAGAGTTCAAGTCTAAGAGTGAAGGGCTTCAAAAAAACCAGTTCTAGCTGGTGCAAAAAATTTCAAGAAATCAATGTTCTTAATTTCAACCGATTTTGTATTTAACCCTGACGGACATTTATCTGCGTTTTTCGGTTAATAAAAAAAGTCTACGGCCTTACCCTAAGAAAGATAATCGTTCTCGTTCTCACTCTTTTTGGTGTCATACACCCCCGGGACTGATCGGTCCCCCTTCCCCACCCTGTCCGATCTTTCTACCGCAGTCGTTCTCGGCGCTGTTCGTCAAGTTCCTGGAGGAGGAGTCCGAGCCCCAGCAGCAGGTGCGGCTGCCCGTCGAAGCAATGGCCGCCGGCACTGTGGCCTCTGCGGGACGTCACCAGTCGTCGGCGCTGGTGCCCCGAGCGCAGGGCTCTCCCCTACTGCTCCAGCCAATGGCGGAGGCCCTGCCCACCCTGGCGCCAGTGGTCGCCGGTGCCCCACTGCCTGAAGAACCACCCGCGGCGCTGCAGTCTGCGTTCCTCAAGGAGATGCTTGGTTGACACTTTCATCGGCCGCCACGGCATTCGCGAACCTTTGCGGGAAATATATTTTTGTACATTATGCGAAGCGAGGTTGAGACTTGGATCTCGTCAACTGCGAGGGTTGGAACCGAACCTGTGTTTTGGCAAAGAACAACCCGTAGGTTTAAACCAAATTTGGGAAGTTTACGTGCCACGTCAACGAAGGGCATCTGGCACGCCCCAGCAGAGGAGCAAGGATTCGTTTCGACCACCTGGGGACAGTTTGGCATGCAACCGAATTCTCGGTTACACGGTGCCTTCTTCGCAATAGGCCTTCGTCAGATTGCTGGCATTTTGGCTGGGATTCAAACCTGCCACCTGGGGATCCATACAGTGACGTAACTAGGGGGGGGGGGGGGGGGGCAGGGGGTAAAGGTGCCCTGGGCGCCACTTGGGAGGGGGCGCCGAGTCGAGTCCACCCAACATGTGCCCGATGGAAAAAAATGCAGCGGGGCTACGCGCTGCCATCTTGGGGGGCGCGAAATTTCATTTGCCATGGGCGCCGTCATATCCAGTTACGCCACTGGATCCATAGGCCTGCGCCTTGCCTCAGAGTTACCCAGGCGGCCAAAGCATGGCTTCTCAAACTGGGCTCCTAGACAGGAGTTCCTCAGAGTTTCCTCAGAGTTTCCTCAGAGTTTCCTCAGAGTTTCCTCAGAGTTTCCTCAGAGTTTCCTCAGAGTTTCCTCAGAGTTTCCTCAGAGTTTCCTCAGAGTTTCCTCCGAGTTTCCTCCGAGTTTCCTCAGAGTTTCCTCAGAGTCTCCTCAGAGTCTCCTCAGAGTCTCCTCAGAGTCTCCTCAGAGTCTCCTCAGAGTCTCCTCAGAGTCTCCTCAGAGTCTCCTCAGAGTCTCCTCAGAGTTTCCTCAGAGTTTCCTCAGAGTTTCCTCAGAGTTTCCTCAGAGTTTCCTCAGAGTTTCCTCAGAGTCTCCTCAGAGTCTCCTCAGAGTCTCCTCAGAGTCTCCTCAGAGTCTCCTCAGAGTCTCCTCAGAGTCTCCTCAGAGTCTCCTCAGAGTCTCCCCAGAGTCTCCCCAGAGTCTCCCCAGAGCTTCCCCAGAGCTTCCCCAAAGTTTCCCCAAAGTTTCTTCAGGGTTTTCCCAGAGTTGCAAAATTTTCTCAACCATCCCTAGCCTAAGTAGCAAATCTGGTGCTAGTTTTAATATAACTTGCTTTTTACGTTCTTAAAGCAATGCGCATGAAAATAAAAAAAGTTTTGCATATACATGGGGTTTGGCAACACACTTGAAAGAGCCTAGTAAAGTAAGCCAATATGCTCCTGTTAAGCCACTGAGTGCAAGTAACAAATATCATGTGTACGAGAACTCTTGCTTAAAATAATTGAAAAATGCTATTTTAAAGGGCTACAGAAGTTTCTTAAAGCTTTTATAAATATAAATTCTACATATGCTGAAACTTGGGCATGTCATATCGCAAAGGATGATAAAAATTCTTGTGCGCAAACTGAAAGATGCCCCAAAATTACAAAACGAGAAAAACATGTTAGAATATTACCATAGATCTGTTGCAACACTACTTTGACCATAGATTTGTAGCACCAGATATTACCATAGATCTGTAGCAACACTGTTTGTGAGAAATTGAAGCTACAAAAGATTGCAATGGAGAGGAGATAGCTAGGCCTCCTCGAAGTCACTAATGGCGGCCGATGTTACAATTTGAAGAACCGCGCCCTCGAACCTGGATCATATGCATTCCTTCTTGGATCGCTGGGAGGTCTTCCAATGCGTATTTGACTCATTTTGCGACCATATATTGACATCTTTTTTATGCATAAAATATGAAAATTTAAAGAGGTACTTTGGGGCTTTCTTTATGCTCCCCGATTTGCCTGAAAATTTGCTAAACACACTGACAAACATTGCTAAAAAATTTTGGCCAAATATTTGGCCAAAATAATATTTTTTCAAAATGTTTTCGAATTTGCAATTTTCATCGAACAAGGTCTCTACTGGCAATAATGAAAATGACGCCAGCAGCAGGCAGGGGTTCACTCTTTGGACTGTAGAATTTGTTCCCAGCTGATTACAGGCAGTTTTCTAAAATCAAATTAATGCTTTAAAAGCTTGCTCCAGCACCCCCCCCCCCCCCTCCCTCCGTGCAGCAGCGCTAATCAAATGCTTGACATATTCCACTTTTTGACTGCCTGCTCAACTGGCAAGTCTGCCTGCTACTGGCATCGCGGCCCTTGAAAAGTGCTAATATATGGTTTTGGCATCATTTTGAGTAGCCAATTTCACAATAACTGTTAATAATTTTGCTATACTAAATGGTATACCGGAAAGGGCGAAGGCCGGGGATTTGGGAAGTAGCTCGAAAGTACCCCTTTAACCCTTTGATGCCCAAAACGCTACTCGAAATACTGGAAACCTAGAAATCCCCGACGTTTTACACCACTCAAAATAACAGATATCTAGTTTTGAAAAAAAAAAAAATTCCTTTTTTCGTAATTATGTTTTTGAAATGTCGATTGTGAGCAACGTTAGGCATTTGCAACATTATTTTAAGTTCAATGACTGAAATCAGTTACGACCTGGGATTAGGCACTGGAATACTTCGCATGTCGCACAGTAGAGACGCTTGACACTGGATTTGCAATATTTGCGCCGGTTTTTCTTCTCTGAGTTTCGAGGTCAGTGATGCACACCGTCATACCTCGCACCCTCTGTCAGCTTTTTTGAAGATTCAAGTCAATTCACTGCTAAACGCAGGTATCCTCACCTTGCGACAGCACGTGACATAGCAGAAATTAAATAATTCTTGAGTTGTTGCTCCTGAGCAATACTGGGCGTCAAAGAGTTAAGGATAATAAAATACACTAGAATCCAAAATCTAATTGCTTTAGCAAAATATTGCGGGTTCACAGCGTACCTTATCACCGTTCGCGTACGCCTTATTATTTATCATCTGGTTTCAACACTTGTTTCAATAATAAAACCAAAAGTGTCAAAACCACATGATAATTTTAAGGCGCGCGCGAACTATGGTAAGCACGTAGCGCTCCCCGCATGCGTTTCTCGGTAAAGATTGCGGAATTGCATTAAGCTGCCGCGGCTACGACAGTGTACGAAGTCTTTCATATATAAAAAAAGTTTCGTACAGTGAATTTACTTTCGTCAATGATTTGGTAATGGTATAGACCCTTTTGCTGTTGACAAACATGAACTGCCGCTTGCGTCCCAAGCAACTTCCGGTCGCACTTTGCAAGCCTGTTGAGCTTGCTTATGTCGCCAGTCCTTGAGAGCATAAAGGCTACACGGACAACAAAGTAGGAGATATAACGAGGGCCTTCGGCTGTACAATTTTACATCTTGGAGGAGGCAAGTTGGTTTACAAGAATACTCGAAACATTGTAACAGATCTCGCATTCCTTCATTCTTTTGGCGTTCACCTGGAGGTTTGGTGGTTAAACGACTTATCTACATTCAAACAGCGGTGTTACGGTGGCCTTGTTCATTACTTTTATAAACCGGAAGTTCTCTGGGGCGTCAAAGACTGGAGCACCACCTGGTGGGGCATTCGTTGCAGGTGATAGCGCAGCCTCGCTGTTTAACCACCTTCGCGGCGTGGATTGAAGCCTTAATTTTTTTCTACCTGCACGTTTCCCTCGAGCACCATTTTGGCAGATCCGAGTCACCCGTCGACGCATAACTATCAGCCAAACACTTGGTAGTTTGTTCATTTTCGCTTGCAAGCTGTGCAGGCTCCTAAACTGCTTCGTTTCATCAATGCCAAGACTGAAAGGGGTTCCTTGGAGATCAGTTTAAACGGGTAAAAGTTCCTCGGGATTCAAAATTTTTAGATTTCCTGCATTAAAACATTAGTTCTCAGACTGGGTTCCTAAGAATACAAGACTTCCGAATTCCTTGGCTGTCTTTGCCCCTAAGTGTTCTCCCAGTTTAAGCGCCGTTTAACAATGTCGGAGCCATCCAGCGACACCTAAGTACTGTAATATCCTGAGGGATAGCCCACCAAAACTCGACAACAAATGGGTGAAAATATGGGGGGTTAACTTTCGGTGTGCTATCAAGCAAATGTAGGGAAACATTTTTATTTTTAGGTCGTACATAAAATCCCGTGAGAACGCCCACCCAAAATGGAGAGGAATGGTGGAAAACATGGGGTGGGCTATTTTTAGAAACGCGGCAAGAAAACTTCATAACAAATGTGTGATAAACACTGGGGCACCCGCTACAAGCAACGTGGCACGGGCGCTGATGCCGGCAAATTCACGATGCGATGAACGCGCTGTAATTCGCTACAAACTCTTGTGACACGAGCAAAGATATCGCGGACGCAGCAGATTCAAGTTTCACGATGCAATAAACGCGGGAACCCACTACAAACTTGCCTGTCACGGGAACCTGTGGAGCGAAAGCTCGCGCTGCAGAACCCAGGGATCCTGGGTTCGAGCCCCACCCCTGTCCGTTTCGATCTGGATGAGCATCGTACCGGCGTGCGGTCGTGTATCACTACTGCGTGATGCACGTTAAAGACCCCAGGCTAGCGGTTGTACCGCACTGGCTAAATTTCTCATCTACAGCTGGGAGACTCGTCGCCCCTGTGAGGCAGACCAAGTTCTAGGCTGTATAAACACACACACAACCCAATTTTTTGTCACGGGAACCGATATCGCGCGCGCAGATCGCGGACAAAAACGCGGGAACCCGCTATGAACTCGCTTGTCAGACGCACGAATAGAGTTGGTCGTGGTCAGACGTACCGGTACTGCAATCGCGCGGTTGATGCGTTTCCCGCGTGACGTCCGACGGGAATGGGGGGGGGGGGGGGGGGGGATGTGTTGGAAATTTTGTGTTACGGATATTTAGCCAGAAAAACAAGATGGGCGATGTCTCGGGGGAGGGCGTCTTTTCGGGATTTTACAGTGTGTCCCTGCCGAACTTATTGCAACAATGGACAATGAGTCAAAGATAACTACTTCCCAGTCAGCAATGTTTGCTTACATTCATGTTACGGATATTTAGCCAGAAAAACGGGATGGGCGATATCTCGGGGGAAGGCGTCCTTTCGAGATTTTACGGTGTGTCCCTGCCGAACTTATTGCAACAATGGACAATGAGTCAAGGATAACTACTTTCCAGTCAGCAATGTTTGCTTACATTCATGTTACGGATATTTAGCCAGAAAAACGGGATGGGCGATATCTCGGGAGAGGGCGTCCTTTCGGGATTTTACGGTGTGACCCTGCCGAACTTATTGCAACAATGGACAATGAGTCAAAGATAACTACTTCCCAGTCAGCAATGTTTGCTTACATTCATGTTACGGATATTTAGCCAGAAAAACGGGATGTGCGATCTTTGGTGGGAACGTCCTTACGGGATTTTACGGTATGTCCCTGCCGAACTTGTTATTGCAGCAAGGGGCAATGAATCAAAGATGACTGTACTTCCCAGTCAACAATGTTTGCTTACACTCCGCCGTAGCTAACTAGCTGCATTTATGCCGAGGCCATCCTAGATCTGAACACTACGATTACAAAAAGTGGGCCATATTTCGGTGTTCAAAAGAAATAGCAAATCGACCCAAAATTGGGGGTAGGTCATCTTTCGGGGCAGGGCCATCTCTTTGGAGATTACGGTATGTGGCAAATATTCCTCAGTACGTACTAGGGGTATGTGCATTGTTCTTTACGACGTTTGACTGTTGAAGAGTATGACACTTGAAGTACTGCCACTTAAAGGGACGCTGAATGAAACATTTCAGTGTCTATAATAAGTGACGCACGGTCTTTCCACGAGCCACGGCAGCCGCCGGTGTGAGCACACGCAGCGAAATTGACGTCATCATATCCCCCATTCGTGAATGGGAAATATGATGTCAATTTCGTTGCGTCTGCTCACGCACACCGGTGGCTGCTGGGTCGTGGAAAGATCCTGCGCCACTTATGATGGACACTGAAATGTTTGGTTCACGAATGGGGGATATCATGACGTCATGCAATTTCATTGCGTGTGCTCACGCACACTGCCGGCTGCTGGCTCGTGGAAATATCGTGCACCACTTGTAGACACTGAAATGTTTCGTTCAGCATCCCTTAAAGTATACTTTGAATACTGTATATACTGCATTATAGTAATTCGAATATTTGAAGCAACCATACAGGTGAGAACTGCACCTTCGGAAAGAGTTTGATCACTAAAAGTGTACCAATTTAGTGTTTTTATGAAACAAAAAAAGTAAAAAGTCCTAAAATTTAATTTAAAAAAAATTATGCATTGCTGGACGCTCATTTTCCGCCCATATGTAGCTCTAGCGGTCCAAACCTTGTGCCAAAGTTTCACAAGTACCGTAAAATACCGGAGTGCCCACCTCACTGCCGCGGTATTTTACGGTATCTCTAATCGCATTTAAAAGTTGTGATTTTCTGAAAATTTCGATGGGAAAATGGGGCCCATTTGAAAATCACTTGGTAACTTTTTTCAATAAGATAACGTTCAGTTCTGAAGCTTTGGAATCTGGTACAGACTGCTAGTATTACATTTAGGCAGAGAATGAGCATTCGGCGCTGCATAGTTCGTTTTTGCAATGTATATATATATATTTTTTTTTATTTATTTATTTATTTATTTTTTTTTTGGGGGGGGGGGGGGGGAAGGGAGGGGGGACATTTTGTGCACTTGAAACATTTTTTTTTCCTTGTGAAACCGGAATTCAAAAATTCTTGCGTTAGGTTTTGATTAGCTCTGGGATTAAAGTTTGGAGCTACCAGAAAAGACATCAGATTGGTTAATTAGTTCGCTATTTAGCTAAAACTAGCCGTGAGTCCCGTGACAGGTCAAGAACGAAATGGAAGCTCCTCGCACCCCTTTCCACCTCAGTGGAACGAACGGTAGAGGGGAGGTCACCTTCTCTCCAGCGTTCGCACTACTAAAGTGGAAAGAGGTGGGAGGAACTTCCGCTTAGTTCTTTACCTGTCATTGACTATAGTCAAAAATTGGTTTTGGGCTCTACAGGGTGAAAAATGTCATCCTTGTACATTGCTTCAAACTGAAATGGTACTGCCAGTAAGCTGTGATATCAAGCAGGTGCAAGCACTCCTGACCATATGTCCAGAATGAAAAGGAACTTCCTACTACTTTTTCTTGGCAAAAATCTTTTTCTTGGCTAAAATGGTTCCTGCAGGTAGCCCTGCATTTATGAGCAGAGGAATGTCTGCATATAAAACTTTATTCTGCAAATGCATTTACACATTTCTGTTGGTCTAAAGCGCAAACATTTGGGGAGATTCAATCTGGCAGCCCATTCTCAAAGTCGCTGCCAAAGATATGGCACACCGGCAAGCATTGCATGCGTAGTTCAGGCACGTCTTGAGTCCAGGCAATAATACTCTCACAGGTCACTTGTTTTCGCGCCAAGACAACGCGAGCAGGGCAATCGGGAGGTCAACATGCCCAGCAGGCCTTCCGACGCCATGTGGTTCTCAATCGTGTGGCACAGAATGGTCATCGGGACAGGGCCACCCATAGAGGCTTTCAGCGTTGCAGCAATTCTTTCACCCGAAGCTTGGCACACAGCAGCACATATGTTCTTCGAAGTTTGCAATCCAACGACCACTTCGGTTCACGGGCTGCGGTTCCATAGTTTCCAGACGAGCAGTCCAGGAGGCCAACATGCCCAGAAGGCCTTGTAACGACAAGTGCCGATAGTTTGGCACACAGGTCATTGGTACAAAGCCGCCCATAGAAGCTTTCAGCATTGCAGGGATCTTCTCACCCGAAGCTTGGCACGCAAGCGAGCATGTGTTTCTTTAAAGTTTGCCGACACAGCAATCCCATAGTTTCTAGATGACGGTTCGCAGCTTGGGCAACCGTAAGAGTCCGCCTTGCAAGGGATCACCTGCACCCACATCCTTCCACCACCATATCCTGGTAGTTCTTGAGCACGACACGCTCGAAGGCATCGACGTACAGCAGCGACACCGGCGACAACTCCGTGGGCACGCAACACGCATTGGGCACTCCTCCAGCCCGCATCGAGTTGACCAGGGTCTGCACGATGGCGTGGTTGGTGCCGTTCAGGTGGTCCGGCAGTGGAAACGGGCACACCCCGTGGCAGTAGTAGGCCTCGTAGCTCGGCGGTGCCACGATCCAGTCGTTCCAACCAACGTGGCTGAACTCTACGCGCAGCGGAAACCGGCGGCACGCGTCGCGGCCCTGCTTGGAGCCCTGCTTCCTCCGCCTCTGCATCGCCGCCCTTTTGGTCCGCTTGGGCGGAGTCCCGGCGGCCGCCGAGTACGTGAGGAGCACCGGCTGACGCGGGTCCCAGAATCGCGGTTCGTGGCGCCCTTGACGCAGCAGGAGCCGGCTCGAGTTGGAGCCCGCTCCTGCCGGCGACTCGGTGCTGACTCGGAGGTAGAGCCCGTGGTTGGGCTCGCCGGCGGCCCAGCGCTGCACAGCTGGGAAGACGTCCAGGGCCAGCCAACCGCGGCGCGGCACCAAGGCCCTAGTGTCCAGGAGTCTCAGATGGGCCTCGCCGAGCCGCCGCGTCGCCGGTCGAAGTACCTCGTAGACGCGTACCACTTCGACGGGGCTGGGCCCACCGGGACAGGATGCTTCGGCTGCGGCCAGCCGGTACAGCCGGAGTTCCGCACCCAGGAGGCTCTCTCCGGGGGTGGACGTCACGTTGAAGCGGAATCGGGCGCCGTTGGACGGCTGCTGTAGGTCCGCGCCGCGTTCCCAGGAGGTGTGGCTCCGCACGGTGTCCACGGGGCCCTTGGAGGCGAGGAAGGCTCCCTGCTCGTCTTGCCAGCGCTCGAAAAGCCTCGCCATGTGGTCGGGCACTGCGGGTGGCTTGGAGCCGGGGGGCCGCTGGGGCGCGGACTCGAGTCCTAGCGCCTGGAGGAGGTGGGCTTTGGCGAGTTCGAGGGACGGGTCTGGAGCCGTGGCCGCCCCGGCGTAGACGAGGCCGAGGCTGGCCCACAGGAGAAGCATCGGTAGAAACGGCAGCCGGGCGACCGGGGTCATGGTGGTGACAGGCGGCAACCCGACACCTGTATGTCGCAATAGGCATGGTATCAAAAGATACGCGCGACATAATGATAGCATAGCTTGCTGACCATAACCAGAGGTAGTCTTTCCTAGCAAAATGGATCGTTAATCTACTGATTTCAACATTTTGCCCGGAGAAATTGTGCGATGTGGTGATCTACACTGACAAAAGAGAAAAATCAAAATAGCCGTCCGACGATTTTTTTAGCTACCCAAACTAAACACATTTTCGTAATACGCAGACTTTTTTCTTTCGGACGAACTATTTATTACCTATCAATCCTAGATAGATATTGAGAAGACGGCAAATAAAGGGTGATGCCAAAACCAACGTTCAAATTTTCTCGCGCTCTCTAGTTAGATGACGTGACATGTATAACTTACAAGCAGGCAGTCTTTAAAAAAAAACGCGGAATTTTGCTCACGTTCTTATGTTTTGCTGCGTGAGCTTAAATTAACCAGCATTCAGCGAGTATGAAAAGTTCGCCTTTTAACACACGTTTTGCAGAAATCCCAAAAGGCCGCGCGCGAACCCTGTGCGCTCTTCTTTACCCCCGCACATCTTTTACCATGTGACACTGGAGAGAGAGAGAGAGAGAGGTAACGCAATAGGGAGTTTTCGTAGACCGCGTTTCCCCCTCCGCTAAGTTCTCCGCAACGAAGTAGCCGCTACTGCGCCTGCGCGCCGATGGCCTTGACTGAAGAGTTTCGAGTATCGTAGCGGGTAGCGGAGGGCGTTACGGGACGGCGAAAACCATCTACGAAAACTCCCTAATGACTCGCCTACTTTCGGGCGCATTTTGTCCGTCGCCTCAGTCGTCTGCTACAGCCAGTCCTGTACCCACCCTTCCCGACATTCCCTTCGGCGCCGCTGACGGTGCTACACGTTTTCCAACAGGTCTATTCAGAAACTCCAGCTACACCCCGTTCTACATGCACGTGCGAATACTGATTTTGGCCGACTATTTTTCGAACCGAGTATCGAATATTTTCTCCAAGCCTTTCTTTCACTGCTGCACCATGTTTAATTTAAATGAAAACACAGATAAACTACTTGTGAAGTGCGTTCCTTGTCCATTTCTAAACTAAGTTAATATTCATCGAACTATATTTATGTACTCTGGCCTCAGGATGTTCGATGCCTAGATTGGGATGGCAAGTAAATGACGTATATTGACATAAAATAAAACTTACATGGATGCCCAAATATACCTACTATAATTATGGACTCTGGCTTGAGGAAGTATTGCCTACCTTGGGATGGAAAGTAAAGGACGCATTTGACATAATATTAAACCTAGAGGGATGCCCTGCTATACCTTAGCGAGGAGATTTATAAATCTTCTCTATGCAAACATCTTTCCTTCAATCTAGAAGACAGTAAAGAAAACGAAAAAAAAAAAAGACAATCATGAATGACGAATGCTGGTTGTCAAGACGCGTATACTCTTGCAGAATAGCCACAGTTCAATACTGAACATTTTTGCTGTAGTGTAAATATGAACAATCACAAGATTAATTTTTTTTAATAATAAATACATTAGGCGCGCGCGTGCACTGTCTCGCTTTGAAGGTGCGCTTTCCTCCTAAGCACGCGACTGCAATATTTGAACTTTGCGAGGTGGTGATCACTGCGGATTAGCACCGTGGTGCGCCGCGGAAAAGCAACACTCGCGGAACCGACCTCCGCAGGTGTTGCCTCTCCACGGTGCGCCGGTGCTCGGCAAGAAGCGCACTCAAGGGGGCTAACTCACCGCGGTCAACGCTAATAGCGACGTGCGCGGTCGAAAGCGTCGCGGTGGTCGGCCTTCCACGATTGGCCGAATGCTGACTATGACGTCAGCAAATGAGTTCTCATGGACGGACATAAGAAGAAAGCGAGGACTTCAATTTTGACGGTGTTGACAGTGTTGGTTCAAGAACGCCATGATTACAAGCTTCCGCCATGCTAATTGCAAACACCATCGAACTTGTTTATTCGCAAGGTAATGACGTCACGAAAGGTAACCATACGAGGGCGCCACGGAAACATCTCGGCAATAATACTGTGTTTCATACTTGAGCGTTGTCAAACCTGCTGGCGCAAGCATGGGGCTCGATCTCGCTGATCATTGGCACGCGTTCTCACGCAAACGAAACCATCGCCACGCGCTCGCGCCAGCAGCTTTGACAGCGTTGTATATGAAGTATGAAACAGTATAGAAAAGGTCCAATATCGCAGTTCACATCTCGAGGCGAATATCGAATAGCGTATTATTCGAAACTGCTATTCGAACACTCGTGTAGCACTACGTTGTACCGACGATGGACCGTGGTGGACGTGCTGCCCAACCGAACCAATCCAACGCTGCGAATGTACCACGTGACCTTGCGCCCCGTGCGTCGCCACGCCCAACCGGTAGGTCACATGGCACGGCCTCGGCGCTAGACTAGATGATTTGTAGCGTTTTCTGCGGTTCAGCTAAGGGTGAAAATAACAGAACGGATAGTTCAAACTGTCAGAAAGTTGTGCGCAATCTAAAATTTGCTTTATTAGTAGGTGCGCGAACCCAAAAATGCAATTTAAATCAGTTTTTTGTCAGGTCCCTCTGAGAGAGTGTATGGGTATGGCACGGCAGACGGTTCTATACCATTTCCCCGCGTGCAGAACCCGCCGGAAAGGGCCCGTGCCATTAGCCCCGTGTTTCAAAAACCCCGCGCTCAGTGACCCCGTTTCATAATTCCCGCGTACCGTAGCGCCGTCCTTGCAATCCCTTTCTCATTTTCCTGCCGTGCTCGCTTTGGAATCAACAGCAGGATGGTGAAGGACAACCCTTGGAGGAAAAGGTTTACACCCTTAAGGGTGTAAATCAGCTCTTCTCGTGGCTACCTGGGAAAAATTGCTCGCTGCGCCTATTGGGAGATGGCACCGCAAGTAGATAGCGTAAATAGCGGTCGTCTGCGAACGCACAAAGCCTCAACTTTGGCCAGATTTTCTAGTTTTTTTTTTTTTATTTTTTTTTCTACTGTCATTTTTTACAGAAACAGAGCTATTAATATGCTTTTAAATTTCACACGGCCGTAAAACTGACCTGCTCGGTCAGGGCTGCCAACACAGAATTCGAATTTCCCTAGCGAACGCCTGAAATTTCCCTATTTCTGCCGAAATTTCGCTCGCTTGCCCAAGACATTGCATCATACTATTTTTTCACCTAAAAAAAAAAAAAAAAAAGTTTTGCGCATTGTTCATATTCCGGCGCGAAGTAGTTCTTACGAGATCTGGTTGTCGGAGAAAAAAGCGATGCTTTTGGCGTTTGGAACAGTTTGAGGGGAATTTTTGGGCACCCTATATATCTGAAATTTTATAGGCCAATTATAATTTTATTTCGAGGTTTCAATTTTCATCCGTTTTCATCGCCCCCGTCAAAACTATGGAGGAAGAGATCACCCATGTGGAAGCTTCTGAGAGCGCCGCTGTGCCTTTTCGAAAAGAAAAAAAAAAGCCTGAGTACAAGAATAAATACTGCGATGTCTAGAAATATAGACTTACCATGACTAATAATCTTTCGTGAAGTTCCGTGCACGAAATGGTATAGTTACTGTGTGTGTGTGTGTGTGTGTGTGTGTGTGTGTGTGTGTGTGTGTGTGTGTGTGTGTGTGTGTGTGTGTGTGTGTGTGTGTGTGTGTGTGTGTGTGTGTGTGTGTGTTCGAGTTTGAGAACTCTCGCTTATGTTACACCTTTTGTTTTGGACATACTATTATAAAAAAAACGCTACTGAATTCATTAAGCAGTACCATGTTCTGATGGCGTGCATAACATCTAAGGCGAAGATACGGTTTCATTCGTGAGTCTGAATTTACCGCGGTAACACTTCCCCTCGCCAAATTTGCTTTAGCCACAGTTTTAACCCGATAAACACATTTTTTTCTTTTTTTTTTTGCAAAACGGACGCGAGGCATAAATACTACATAATATATCTTTCATCTCAAAAAATTAAAGCGATGCAAAAAAAAAAAAAGAAAACACGAATAGGTGACCGTTTCCGCAATTACGAATGTTACAAGTATGCCGTTTTGTTCTCGTCAATATTTCACACAAAGCACGGCATATCTAAGTTAAAGAATTGTACAGACAATGATTATTCTAGATAGTCGCTAAAACTACCTCCGCTACAGCTGGTTGAAGCGGATGTCAGTGCGGCGAATAGTCTTCATAGTTCGTCCCACGTCACCGCAGCTTCCTTTTCACACCATTCTTACATTAATGAATGGCTGACCATACCATAGTAACCACTCAACCATATTTTATTATTAAAAAGGGTGTATTATTTGAAATAAGGGTGCTGAAAGGGTGTAGTTATAGGTGTCAACCTCTGGAACGCCCTTTTTACACCCTTTAGGAGTGTAAAATTTCTTAAACTACACGCGCGATTTCGCGCGCACGCTCGCGCAAAGGAGACACAGAACAAAGCTACGCGCTCGCGCAGGCGCGTTGTAACACTGCGTATCTTTTCACGAGGCGCTACGGAAACTATAGTCTAACACTGTGGCCTCGACAGCGTTGCGAAGAAGAGTGAAGGTGCTCGTTTAATTGAGCACGCGCTCATGCATTTTCATACCCCAATATTTTCTGAACCGGCGATTTCTGAAAATGGCTTTACCTCGTGAGTTGGTGTGCCCTGCAGGATATAAACAAACTTGCCGCTTTTCAATTGCAAAAGAAAAAAAAAAAGGGAAATGTGTCGTGCTTTGTATGTTTCCGCCGGAAGAAAAGCAAAGTTGCCCGAATAATGCACTTTCACGCCGTTATAGTTGTGCTTCGTGATCATATACGCAGCAGCAAGGCCGCCGTAACAAATGGGCAATGGGTAAACAAATTCGCGCGGTTCGGATGTCTAAAGTATAGGCCGACAGAAGCCAGCTCTGTGCACAGGGTGATCCCCCGCAATCCCATTTTTCCCAATTATGGTCTCAAACCTGCGCACTTAAAAAACAAATCCAACCTTCCTATCTTTCTTTCGCAGTGTCCCAATCTCGGCGAACGAACGGCACTGTTCACGCGGACGCGGGCTTCGCCGAATAGCAGACGACACGCGCGCTACGCAACCGTCTCCTCCGACAGCGAACTGGCGAGTCCGTTCTTCCGCGATAAAAACAAAAACAAAATAAATACAAAATAAAAATGAAAAGAAGCGAGCCTCTAGATACACCGCTCAGCCTCGCTCTCCTCCTCAACCGCCCGAAGTGGAGCAATGCTAAATAAGAATGCGTGACGCGCATTCCGCGGAAAACGAATGCAGACCATGCAGACGACCGCCGACGACCCCGCGACTCTTTAGAAGAGCGCGCGACGACACGCTGGCTACATGCATTTCTATCCCAATCGCGCAACGGTCCAAAGCGTCTCGTACTCGACGGGACGCGCAAAGGCACCCAGCAGAGATTAGCACAACGGATCAACTCAGATTAGGCACGTTACGAAGGTTCACAACGACGCAGGTACCACGCGCAACGCACGTCTTGGCCAACGTCTCGTCGCTCCTCCACCGACAGTACCTGATCGTCGGCCGCCGGTACCCCTTGACAACGCTGACGAGCTTCTGACGACGAAATGTCCAAGCCGTTTTAGCAGCAGCGCTGTTTAGCTGCCGAACCACCGGCACGGCAACGATGCGCGCAGGGTCCCACGTCCATCCGCGGCCGCGTCGCGTCGCCAGGACCGTCGAGTTGCCCTCAAGCAACTCGAGGCCAGCCAGCGGCGCGTCCCGCGGCGCATGCGCGAGGTGCTCTTCCCCTCCCGTCTTCTTCCCCCTCCGAGTCCACTTCGGCAAAAACAGGTTTCCGTTTGCCGTCAAAGAGCGCGTTCGGAACGTGGAAGATAAGATGAGCCGCGCGCCCGCAGCCAGCAGCATCCGCCCCGCTGGAGCCGTTGGCGCCGATCTCCAAGACGCGTGTCTCGGGACCGTTTTCTCGGAAGCTCTTCCGGCCGGTAGACAGACTCCTCCGCCCACCGTGGGATACTACTACTACTACTCGGGCTGGCGGCAGAAGTAACCAGCGCCCCCCCACCGTCCTATTGTATGCCAAGGCGGCTCTAGACGGGCCCTTCTGGCACGCCTTGCAAGATAGGCATCGAAGACGTACCGTAGGAACAGTCTCGAGAAGGAAGAAGGCGTTCTGGAGAGTTCCCCTGGTTTCAAATACCTTTGCGAACAATAAAAAAAATAAAAACGAAATTGGGGGAACATGGGTAGACAGATTGGTCGATGAACCTCTTTCTTACACTGTGACCTTCTGCAAGGTTATGCAACTCTGTATTGGGGATAAGAGGAGGATGGACAAGAAAATGACGCGGTGATGATAATTAAAGAAAGATGGGATGAAAATGGTCAATGAGGATAAGCAAGGAGATAGAATGAACATTCTGAACAGTGCCTGAAGTCTCCCGTAAGTTGGGGGGGGGGGGGGGGGGGGGGGTCCCTACAAGAAGGTGGTGGGAAATGAAGAGGGGGGGGGGGGTTATGACGAGATGTAGTAGATGCAGATAAAATAAAACCCACTGTTGACTCTGCCCACGCTTTATTTGCAACCCTCGAATTGCTAATCAATGTCACATCCCTAAAAAACAAGCTATTTTATTGCAATCATATGATTTTGATTTCACTAATGCAGGGGCTTCGGAGGAGGATCTCAGGCTACCCGTTAAAATCAGTGTGGCGTCTGAGATCGCCTCAGACCTCCCAGACTTTAAGCCCTGAAATTTCTGAAGCAACGCGAGACTGAGGAACGCGAAAGTTGACACTAAGTGAAGAAAAACGTTCTCCTTCCCTTGGTGTCGAGCTTTTGTCTTCCTGAGTCTCGTGTTGCTTCAAAATGTTCAGTATACGCCAGCTCATTTGCGCCCTTAGGTTCTGATGGAATGATATATTAGAATTCACCAACAGCCGGACAGCTACAGCGGGGACGACGCTTCCATGCTTGTGAGGAACACTATCGAGACTCTGGTGACTACGAATTGGCCAGCGGCCTGTCCCAGGCACTGAGTATGGGGAGGTGAGGAAATGTCACATATTTAAAACCAGAGACGACGGAAAAACAGGGACAACACAGAACACAGCCAACTTTCATTGGCGCAACCGGTTCTATACGCCACTCTCCCACGCGACCTTCCAGGGGTAAATTTAATATAACGAAAAACATCTCAAACGGACGTACGGCGATGGAGGTTTTTATATTCGTTATGGACGAATGTCCCGTAACTGTCAGAGGGGGCCTGGCTGTGTGATGGATATGCTTGCACTGCTGCGCCGTCGATGGCGATGACGGATAGATGCTTCGCAGCCGTTTCCAGACAAAACAAAAATTAAAAAAAGAAGAAGAAAAACGAAAAGAACTTTACGGCACAGCTTCGGTGTTTCGGGAGGTCTTTATTGGCTCTAAGGAACTTCGGGGTGTCGTTGACTCAAGATGGAGGCAGCGAGTCCGATGTCCGGATCCAGCTGTTGGGTGGGCGGCTAGCTGCGGTCCTTGTCCCTGGAGCCGAGAAATAAAAACCGGAGATGAAGTGGTAGCTGACAACAGAGCACGAGACCACGTACTCGAGGTCCGCGCAGTTAACGAACGGGCTTTGGTTCAAAACTAGTAGAAAGTAGAAACCGTCTTCACTGATTTGTACCCCCCAACACGCTCCAGAATTTTTCCTTACAAAGTGAGGCAGTTGAGTCAGTGACAGATACGCCCCGAGCGAGTGTGCGATTGACTCTCTTTCACTTTTCTACCTTTACGTCGCTTCCGCTTTTCTACCTTTACGTCGCTTCGTCGCCAGGACTAAAAACTCCTCAGGGTACACGAATCTATACTACCCCCCCCCCCCTCCTCCCTCTTTCCCTATTGACAATCCTGGATAAAACCGTCCCCTTCCCTTCACCCCATCGCGTGATAAATCACGTGTTTACGTAACGATATCCGTCAATAGAAACATCTAGATGAACATGTAACCCTCTGTATTTTTTTTTTCTTGTTATTTATATATTGCCAAGTGAAGAGCCCTTCCTTGCTACAGCTCCTTTCGCGTGCATTCCACCGATGGAATTAAGGACCAAGCAGACTCAAACACGTGGCCGCATTTCAGACATATCTTCATAGAAGGCATCCAAAGCAGGTACAAGGCTGGTACAAGATAGAGTAACTGTATCATACCGGAAGTAGAATAAGTAAGGCGGATAGTGCAAACAAGATGGATAGTACAAGAAAGCGAAACCCTATGGACCATCGGGTCCATAGGGTTTCGCTTCCAGCGAGCTCGCAAACACAAAATATGAAACTACTTTTTTTTTTTTTTGTTAGGGGCGAGCGCGTACATTGTTTTAAGAGAGAGAGAGAGAGAAAGAGAGAAAGGGGGGGGGCGGTAAAGGAAACTAGGAAAAGTAGAAATTTTGGTCCGGGATCGAACTTACTTGATTTGAACAGGGATCTGCACGCAGGCGACGGGGACCTTCTGTGGCGACTTGTCGTAAAGGTAAATGGTGACGTTGAGCTGTACCTGTCGGGAAAACGTACACCGTCAGTCACACGCCCACAGCCCATCCCAAAGAAGTCAAGCGCGCTCTCTGCCGCTTACAATCACACGCCAATATATGTTCTGCGGTACAAGTTTAATGAGGAGGGGGGAAGGGGGTGGGGGGCAAGGTAAGCGACGTAAGTTACATAACAGGGGAATTAACTGAAGGAACGTCATATTGTTTTTTTTTGTCCACGTGATGCCAAAACCACGAACTTCCGGTCAATTACCCTGGTCCTACTCAATGACGCTTGATAGCGCAAGCATCGAGCTGGCGTCTAGTACTGGCACTGTTACACGGTACTGGACACTATACTCTATTGACAACAGTACGTTATCAAACGGCCTTAATTTCATATATATACTCTAAAATACCGAATGATCGCCCACCCCACATTTTTACCTTATCTCTCTCCACCATAGGTGGGCGTTCGTTGGTGGGAGTTTTACCGTAGACAGACATTATCTGTTCAAATTAATAACACTGGCTAAGTGACCCAAGTTTCCGCCTGATTCCTAGCCCCGAAAAAACAAGTTTGTTAACATGGCAACTGCAAGCGACTGCTCGAGTCACTCCTCCACTCTCGCTCAGAGACACGCACGCGCGCACAAGTAAAAGAAGCTCCGATGCTGCTCACTTTGGGGAAGAACGGCTTCACCAGGAAGGCGCCACTGTGTCTGTAGAGGCGTCCTTGGCGGAGGCCATGGCTCTCTTCGCTGCACCTGACGTTGTCGGCGATGGATGTCGTCGAGTTGCAGACGTTCACCTCGCGGCCGTACGGCACCAGGACCTTGTCGAACAGGCCGAAAATGCGCCGAAACACGCCGCTGGTGTCGCTGCGTGGTGCTGCGACCAGGAACAGGCGGATCGCAGGTGTCAGGTTAGTCAACAATCAGCCGTTACTTTTTCGTAACGCACTTGATTTTTATTAAGCACAAAAACATTTGTACAGATGCCCAATTTTATAGTAAAAAAAAAGTAAAGTGCCAAAACTTATCTACCGCCAGTCATACTATTTTTTTTCTTCTAATCAAAACGGATTTCAAATCACAATGACAGTGTGATCAAACACGGAAGGCATAGAAACTCGAATCCACAGCCTCCAAGACCGGGCGTGGTTTATCATAAGTTACTCTTCTCGATTTGTGATTGGTTCTTCTGCGCTCTTATCGCCATACGCCCCAGCCTTATTAGCTGCGGGAGCGGTAATGAGATTATAGCGGTTTACAGGTGTTACGAAGTGACCGCCTTCACAATAGGAAACAAAAGTTAATATCCAAAAACTCTACCCCAAAAAACGACCACTTTTTTTTTTTTTTTCGTTCGAAAACCCGCTAAAGTTTTACACGAAACTCGAGCTCGACATCTCCAAGTCGTGCCTCAAAATCGGAGTTTTGGAAATATCACGCGACTCACGTGACGTCACAGGTCACGTGGAGCGTACGTCATAGCGCTATAGTACGCACGCGGAGTCAGTGACGAAGGACGGTTATCGAGAAGAGACATGTGTCGAGCGTCTGATTATCACTTCGGGGGGCCAATGACATTGCAGCATCGGCCGACAAGAACGCGAACGGACCAATCGCAAAGCGTGAATATAATACGTCACTACCCGCGTTTTCCACTGAATTCTAGGGTAACTAAAAGTATGCCAACTTGTTCGTCACGTCTGGTTAGCTAAAAGCTAACCTCCTCGCTATTTTTTTTTTACTGGAATTGTTTTTTAGAGCGAAACTTTCGAAACAGTTCACCCTTTGCTCGTGTGAGAAAGGCTGAACTTTTTTTTTATATCATGTTTATTTGGAAAACATTAAATATTTAATCAATATTAAAAAAAAAACGCCTTTTGTCGCTTAAATTAAGTCAGAGCAGAGTCAACGGTGCTGCAGGATGGGGCAATCCGGTGTCCTCTCAAATTCGGGATCTTTGACAGAAGGCGGGTTATGTCGCCGGATCCATCCATGACAACTGGACATTGTTATCTGTGATGATAGTTACACTGCTGTGGATGTTGGGCCTGATGGGGTTTTTTTCTTGGAGGAGCTTCCGGTATAAATAGTACACCCCAAGGACGTCAGAAGGGGCAGTATTATATCACCCCTCCTGCCCGCGCGGCCATTCACGTTTCTGTGGAATTTGCTTCGTCAAGATGGGAAAGAAAAAAACACACAAAAGCTTCTTAGAGATTAAACGGTTCAGTGGTTTCGAAGAGTCGGCATATATAACGAAAATATTCTTCCCTGCAAGTTTTGTCCAGTTACAGCTAGAGTGAACATCGTACATAATTCACACGACTATATACACTATGAGAAAAATAAAGGGTGTATTATTACACCCTTTGTCCCATATAATTCACCCAGAAACTTCAGTTCGACGTACAGAGCACTGACCTTGAACCGACGGTATACCAACTTTCACGAGCGGCTTGATAGCCGAGGTGTACAACATGTCATATCTATACCGCGTTATCATCAGCTATCGCAAGCCCCTCGTAAGAAGTTTTGGGGATGTATTATGTGGAACAAAAGTGCAGGCTACACTTTTTTTTAGAGTGTATCATTGAGCCGAGGTTGGAAACTCTGCCTTCAGCGCGAGCTTGCATGGCTGCTGTAGGGCTTTGGTTGCGCGTGCCTGCGCGTTCACACTTGTGTTAGCAAGGGCAGAAAGCTCGCGCTGAAGGCGGACCTTCTAGTATCAGCTGAATTAAGGGTTCACGGAGTATAGGGAGTATTCACTGGCGGCCATAGCTGTGTGCGCGACAGCTGAGCGCGGGCTGATGGCGAGCTTCCACAGCTCTTTTGTAACGTGCACTCCGCACCCTCAAGATTGCCAGTCTTAGCAGCCTCTTAATGTGGCCTTGTTCTGAGCATGCGCCCTCGACATCACCCACAAATATGGCTCCCAGTGAATACTCCTTATAAAATGGCTCTCGGCGTTTTTAATGAGTTCATGTCTGAACAACGTTACTTTTTATTGGGGCCCTTTGATCAATCGGGAATGCAGCAAAATTAAACAACAAATTTCGGAATGTTATAAATACAACGAAAATATACTCGATAAACGCCGAACTTTCTTCAGAAATAAATGAACTCCGAAAACACAGGACCCTACCGAGAAGCGATAAAATGTTGAGGTCACCCTAGATCATTATAAATATTTGTTTTCTGTCTGTTTCTTTTTAAACATGCGTTAGTTAATATTAGAACGCACGCTTCTTTGTGTCAAAAGCATGGAACAAAAAATAATTGTAAAGAAAACCGGGCTATTTGGAGGCAGGTGGCCATTTAGCGCACGTGAAAGTATACGCGTTATACTTTGTTAACAATATTTTCTCTTGAACTAGTTGGCACATGGATGCTCAGGAAACTTGTGCCCACAAACAGACAAACACAAAGGGAACACGGACAAAAGTTTCTCCTTGTTGCTGTTCGTCTCTGTTGGTGCCTACAAGTTTCCTGGGCTTGAAGATGGCCGCAACCACTTCGATGAGAGTCTGCCGGTACTAAGGCAAAACCTTACTGAATTGAAAAAAGAAAAAAAAGCTGTGCTTGAAATAAATATTTATAATACAGGTATGCAGGTAATTAATATTGGCATTCTTGCAGGAACCTGGTTGAACAGTGACCCGGCATATGTCGTAGAACACCTCGTCCAAACGAATAACAGAGCGCCTTTTGTTCCGAGCTGTCGCACGTCCACGTAAGCGCCAACTTGCAAGGTAGATACGTACAGAACTGGAGCTCCAGTTTGGCTTCGCTGCCCCTGTAGAGCGGACAGATCTCTTCACTGCCGCAGCCTCCAAGATATGCCTGAGCTTGCTCTCCGGGATCGCCCTTGGCCCAGGTACCTACAAAGAACAAACAAAAAGCCAAAGCGCCTGGTACCCTTGGTTGACCACAAAGCGAACACACGTATCAACAGTTAAAGGTACGAAAACATGGCGACCGTCTGCTTGAGGGATCAACAGTGTACGGAGAACAGAAAGGTGTATACGCTGTCCTTTCGTAGAATATTGGAGATGTCCATCTCTATCCAAGGAGATTACCATTCAAGCTTGGAAAATAGATCCAGCTTTTATAAACGATAATATGCCACTCATAATGCTTGATTTCGTCTGGTTATATACGTCACTACTGTGTGACATCATCGCATCCTGCAGGCGGTATAATTCCTACTTCTTCTTGCCAAGAAGAAACAAGTTAGATGGTGCCAAATGTACGGGGTGCGCGCTCAGCAGCAAGACCACCACAATGGCGACTGACGTGGCGGCAGTGCAAGCCACGTATATTACACATTGTGCCGACACCTCCGTCTCTGAAAAGGACGGAGGTGTGTCGCTGAACTGTCGATTCCCTTCGTGCCAGAGAAAAATAAAAATATTTTTTTGAGGAACTTACAATTGTAGAAGTTCCTGAAGGTGGGTTCGCCCTGGGCATCTTGACCCCGCACGCAGGCAGGTAGCACCAGGAGCAGGGCGAGGGCAGATCCGGCCAGGAGTACCATGTTTCTCGTGGACAGCATCTTCGGACTACGGGAGAGTTCGTAAAGACGATGTGAGGTCCGCCGCCGATCGATGCGATGTGTGGACGTAGCCAAGGCCGACCGGACGCGGGTGACACTTTATCGGGTTGGGGCCCTGAGGGAAAGGGGGAGGGCGAGGGGAAAGCGGCGAACACCACGCCTTGACGTCAGGATGTGGGCTCGCGTTCCACCCTGCCGCCGTCGAAATACGATCTGACCAGGGAAAGAGCGTCGGCAAGGGGAAGGGGAAACGCGACACTGAGGTTCAAGGCTTGGGTTCGGTCCTGTCTCTAGATCGTTCTCCGATCGTCGTGTGTGGTCGCGATGGCCTGACGGGAAGGCCATCGTGACGGACGTTGTGCGTGACGGATAGCAGCACACGTGGCCGCCCGCTGGCAACCGTGGAAATGGGATTCCCACTCCCGCGGAGCTCCGTGGCTCCGTTCTTGCGTGTCTGAGGGTTTGGGCTGAGTGATGTATATCTTCTGCGAAGACGGGCGGTGCGTACGTGTCGAGCGCCAGAAACCGTGTTGCGTCGCTAATCTGCCAGAGATGATGATAAAATGGAAACTGGAGAAATCGTTCGTACGCTTTCTCACGTGAGTTGCGGAGTTTAATCGCAAGCTCGGAAAATGCTGATCTCCTGCCAGGCCAGGAATAGAATGCATGCATGTGTATTATAGGGTCGGCTGGATTTCGGGTGGTGGGGATGAATTTCCATTACCTCACCCCCCCCCCCCCCCCCCCCCTTGGCTACGCTAGAGTCAAGTCGCCGAAATCTGCTAACCCTATTGGCGACGTAAGCGATCGAAAGCGTCGCTGTGATCGGCCTTCCACGATTGGCCGAATGCTGACTAAGACGTCAGCGAAGGATTTCCCATTAACTGAAATAAGAGTGATGTAAGAATTCTGCCCCCTTGATGCTGTTAGCATCTTAGGGTAGACCCTTTTTAGTTTGTCCGGTGCTGAAAGCACGACTTGGACAAAGTAAAAAGGTTCTGCCCTAAAATCAATTGCCAACAGCATCAAGAGGCAGAATGCAGTGTCAAACATCGACTCAAATATGTAGAGTGTCAATATGGAGTGGTATACCAAATATCATTTACTTCCGGGAAAGCATACGTAGGTAAGTCAGGGCGATGTATAAATACGAAATTAAGAGAACATGTCCAAACACTGAAATTAATACCAGCGGAACATCTTGCGGCGCATGTCAAGGACTGCAAATGCTCACCGTCATTCAACCACACCAAAGTTCTGAAGGGGTTCCGAGACAAAAGTACTAGAGAACTGTACGAGGTTCGAATCATCCTCACCAGTGGTGAAAAATGCGAAAGCGCTCCATCAGTGACCCTAACACAAAATTCAGTTCCTTTGGTGTTTCCCTTGAAGACTTTTTATTCGTTTGCTCTGTGTCCTTTGATTTTTAATCTTTTGTTTCTTTTTGTTTTATCGACAATTTTTACGTGACAAGTACTCTGCCGTTAGATGAAGTTAAAATATTTTTATTTCGATTTCTAAAAACCAAATATGTTGTCTTAGTGGCAGCTGTGAGTTTATTTTTATCTTTCTCTTCTCCTTTTTCACTTCCACCTCGTCTTTCTCTGCATGCTCTATTAAATTGACAGTTGTAAGTAAGCGCTCTGTCCTGTCCCCTTCTTCTCTTCTTAGTTATTTGCGCTTTTTAAAATCACCGTCTAGATGTTCAACCAACTAGCCCCCCCAATTGATCTTGACGTTTTGTTCACGATACGAGCGCGGGCCGCATGTCCGATGCCTATAGCCGCGATGCCTGGCGAAATATCCATGTTGTGTGGCTGTCTGCTCGAACTATACCAGTTGACCAGCCCGGGAGTTGTCTTTCCCAAGTTTCCACACGACAGTGCGCACCTGAATGTATAGGGTCGAACATCCCGTGCCGGTCCATGGAACTCCGGGAAGCCGTTATCGCCAAATCGCAAGACACTGATCTGTTCCGATTGCTTATGCTCATGGCACTATCTAATTTACTGTTACCAGCTAAATAGAGAATCGTGCGTGAAAACATCAGTTGCGCTGTGAAACCGAATGAATGTGCGCGGGAGCATACTTATCACGGCATTCATAATTTCCGCTGACTATTTTGCTATTGACAATAAACGTGTAGTCTGCCCGTTACAGCTTCATAAAGGTACACAATTCAGGCTACTAAAGCAGGAGGCACACGCACGGTCAAACGACCACCGCGTCGGTCGTATAGTGTTTCTCAGTGTACGAGTATATATGTCTCGCGCCTGTAGAAACAAGACGCGTAGACTCAGCTATTTTCGGGAATATAAATGTAAGCTTGGAGGTTTATGTGCCAGACCTACGAAGGGCCTCTGGCACATTTCAGCGGAGTCCTGATGATTAATTTGGACCACCTGGAGACCTTGTGACGTGTAAACGAGATCTCGGTTATACACGGCGCCTTCACGACAATAAGTCCGCGTCACATTGCGGGAACCTCCGTCGAGATTCCAACTGGAGATGCGCAGGTAGAGCTACATTTCGGGACAATTTGTTGCATTTTGAAACAAATGGGAGTGCGGTACACAGATTTGATCGGCGCTAAAAACGCGCAAGCGCACAGGCGCGCTCAGCCGGCTTCATTGCTAAAACAGTTCTCCCCGTGTTATGAGCTTACGATGTATCAAAAATGATTTTCTTCGCGCGGGGTCCACATAATACGGATGTACCCTTCCTGCCGAAAGCTTTGCTGACGCGACTTTCGGTGACACATTATTGTGGCGTGTAGGGGGAACAATAATTTGGCACGTCACGTCACACAGCAGAGCTTCGTGGGCTGTGCTATGGTTGTTGTAACTAAGCTCTATTAGTGCATCAACGTTATCGCGAGGACAAGCGAATGCACTACGCCGTTGACTCTGCTGTACAATTCATTTGTTCCTTCGGAAATTGGTTGTGGCACGCTCGTGCATAATATATCTGTTGCTTAGTATTCCTCAGCTTCTACAAATGCTTCCGAAATATGCGTTTGAGAAAACCTACTTTTTGGAAAGAAGCGCAAGCTGGAGCCGGTGGTGCAGATGTTGTAGCAAACTGTACATTGGCGAAAAAGTGCGGAGCAGACGACACTTGCGTTTTGCCCGCCGTCGCGACACTTGCGCCCGCCGTCGCGTAGAGGATCACGTGACCTTTCGGACCACGTGGTTCGACGTGACGTGGACATGACTTTCACGACAGGAGACCAGTTTTGCCTGTCGTAACCAAAGTTTTGGTTTCGGTATCTGCTGATGCCTAAATTAAGAATACACAAATAATATTCCACATTTCGTGAATTCGAAGACGTAGGGATGTTTAGTAGTGCTTTGGGAAATGAAAGCACATGTAAGGGCCTAAAAGTTTTGGAATTGATTGCCTTGTAATGCAAATCATGCTTTGCACAATGGCAACATTTGTTAAAGACATCACAATTTATAGCGCCGGCTCGCGGCAGTTTACTGCGCAGTATTTCCAAGCGATTATGGTCCCACAAAGGGAATGATTTTTTCCTCTATTTCTTGTTTAACAAATTAGTCCCGAGTTGTCTTGAGCGGTGCCGAAGACAGTTTCCAGTGCAGACTGAACATTGGCTTCTGGTGGAAGTGGTAGGCTGCCTGGGTCAGAGGGTAGCGGTTCGCTCCAGAAGAAGGGGTGCAGGAGTGCCTGTACAAGAGCAACTTACAATAAGCTTGGACCCTTATGAATCTTCTGAAGGTTCGCACTTACCTGGCTACAGCTGAGCCTGGACAAAGGGTCATAGACCAGAAAGCCCTTGACTAGATCCCTGGAGGACCTGCCTACATCTGGTAGCAGGTCTCTCCAGGGGAGGGCTTCGCTTTCTGGAAAGGTAATCTTGCTGTAGTCTGGAAGTTGCGCTAGCCCCTAAGAGAATGGGGAAAAAAATGTATACACACGTAGAAAAAGAAATTTGGATTTGAAAACGTGACTTAAACAAAAAAGTTAAGGCAAATTGCTGGGCAATTTTGTTGCATGCGTGAAACGTCCTAGCGTGACAAACGTTTATATCGTCGTTCAGCACGTTTAACCTGTTCAGCCAGACGCCTACGTTCACGGTATTCTTCATCAGATAATTTAACGAGTGGCATGTGTATACATTTGAAATTATAAACCTGCATGGAGATTTTCCAGAACCTTGTAACTGATCACTCCTCTTCTCACACCTCGCCTACATCTCCTCCTTACTCCACCACCTCTGGTCCCACGACCTCCCCGCTAGCCAATCGGCGTCGAGTACCTCGCTCCTCTCCCGCCCGTCAACCAATCAATGTCGAGCCTCTTGGGCACGCTTTTATTCGAGCTTCACTTTTGGGCGCTTCACGAAATGCCGAACACAAAAGAACGTTTCACGTTAATGTGAACGAGAAGGCAAGATGAGGGGGAGGTTCTTACTGGCCATGTGCGTTGATTAGGTGTTCCAAGGGCCTTTATGACGAGACAGAGTTGCTCAATGTCACTTTCTCCCTGCTCAGAAGAAACAATGTTATGTCATCCAAGTGGCCCCACGCAGCTGTTCGTTTACGTACCCGAAAAAGGGGGGAACCGTTGAGCATCTCAGCCAACACGCAACCGGCAGCCCTGTTCAAAGAATAAAAAAAAAAAAAAGATTTTGGAAGGATACACTGCCCAAGCGCAGAATGCAAGCGTCTTACGGAAGGTACTGCGTTTAAGATATTCTTGCTGATAGTGTAGTACCTTGAAGATACATTTAAATCTTAAATTCGGACACAGAGTACGGTACCAGCACAACAAAATAGTCACCGCGTGAGCATTTTTGTTGTGCTTTCGACAAAGTGAGTCCGCGGCTTCATGCTAACAAACAAGAAAATGAGGAGAGGACTGAAGTTTGCTCGCTAAATTTGTCTTTGTTTATTACTTCACTAAGAGGCACCTATTTCTTTACGAAAAGCTTCTTTTTTTTTTTTTATGGCAAATAGATATGGTTACATCATAGTCTAAACCTTGAGACACAGATTAGTCAAATAACGGACGACACGACACGTCCCAAATTAGCTTTTGGGCCCGTGTTGTTGGTCACTTTATTTCTCAGTTTCAGGGGTTAAAATATTATGCGATTTCCTAATAAGCGCGACTGCATACCATCTCTTAAAACAAATTATCAGTTGCTTCCAGAGTTGAGAACCTTTTTGAACACGATCAAAAATAAACCAAATGCGTAAAAAAAATTAAAAAAAAAGAGAATTGAGGGTTTTGAGGAAGAAAGCTACACTTCACCGTGTCTCTTCTTGTGCACGTTTATTGTTTATTTTAGTTTGTACGTGTAATTATATTTGAAATAATTAGTTGCGTATATATATGCAACCTTATTTGCGAGGATCTTCACGAGGCAGGCTTGTCAACAAGCTGAATTTCGGCATGTCCCATGCATATAATTATTTTTGTTCCTGTAATTCTTTCGAGTAATCTTTTGCGTGTGGAACTTTTCGCGTCATATCACCAGAGGATATGATTTTCAGCAAGCACTCAGCTTTGGAGCAGTATGCGTGTGTCAACAAATTGTAGACCTGAACTTGAAATGAACGATGACCCAGTGCTTGCATGCCGTTCCTGCACCGCACTGTACTAACGCCTCGGGTGCACAGGCGTCGTGTATCCTTCGTCATCCACCAGAATGCAGCCATCAATATGGCACAGCACAGACAGACATTTGGATGATGACAGTGTCAAGGGTGCCACATGGGATTTCGGAAAGGGTCCGCTGATATAGATTTCAGAGCATTTGTACTTCATCCAAGATGTCTTCCTGCGAAAGTAACGCAGACAACCCTACACATATTTTATAAACCTGGTATAGCTTCTTATAGAACACTAGCTGAACTGAACACCTACCAGAGGTCTATGCCAGACCCGTAGTCCTGCGCCCCGTAGAGCAACTCTGGCGCCCTGTACCACCTGTGGAAATTGGAGGTTTTACATTCGAAAATCACAAAGGGCGTCTCAAATCGTGCAAGAAAGACTTACAAATCCTCAAAAACTTCTGAAAAAAAGAAAATGTTGGTGGAAAATGTGTGACTGGAACAAAGCTGCCAATTAGAACTACGAAAATTTGTTTGTTCTTGAGTTTTGGGCTTCGAAAGGGCAGAAGGCCTCGTCTTGCCATTTTTGCAGTTTTCACGATGTGACACCATTTGGAGTCTCGAAACTTTTAGAATCTTAAGGCATAAGAAGCATATTAGGTGAAAGCTTGCATCAAAGCCAATTTAAAAATTATAATAGTGTTAATTTAGGTATAGTTTATATGGTTTTGTCATATTAAGCAGCAAGTTTGAAAAGAAGACATTTTTACCTTCATTCAAAAATGTAAAGACATGGGCCGTTGCCAAATCTTTTACCTAATTATATATATGCATATATATACATCATGTACCATTTAGTAAAAATGAGGCATGACTGGTATGTTATAATTTAAAAAAAAGTTCCTGCACATGTCCAGTTCACTTATAAAATCTTAAGATACTTTTCTTTAAATAAACCTTTTGAAACGTCTTTTTTTTATTTAACAAGCATCAAAATTAAGTCTTTCAAACCTCTATGTCAAGCAATGAAGGGGTGAGAGAAATTATTTTCAATAACCCAGCGGGCCGAGTGCGAAATTTTGCTTCTTTCATGCAGCCGCATTTTCACGTATTCTGGCGAGGCTCGTTTAAAACGTCATAACTTTCTTTTTATTTGAGGCAATCACAAATCATACAAATAAACGGGGGAAATGCATAACAATGCATAGCATTTTAGTATTATAAGCACACAGTAACGTATAGTGTGATAAAAGAAAAAAGTGATTTTAAGTAAGGTTAACTTTACCCTTGAGGATTCGCTTTTTTTATTTTTATCACAACCCTGAAAGACCCGTCACTATTTTGAGCCTTCATCCACAAGTGACAGGATGTAGTGTTTTAACAAGACTCAAAAAATTCCATTTTTTTTTTTTTTTTTGCCGTGTCACGGTATTGGGTGAGGCATGCTGCTTCACTTTTGAAGAGTACAATTCCAGGTACCTTCGGGGCCGCTACACGAGAAAAATCATCAGCACTTTCAATGGTTTCCAGTTTTGACGACCTGAGGTTGTGCAAGGAGACTTGGTGCTTGAGGACTCTCCCCACGCCATTACACGCACTTTTCCCGTATCCCGTAGCTTAAAAAAAAAAAATCAATTTGGGCAGCCCTTGTCTCTTCGCCATCTCGTACAGTTGAAACCTATTTTGAAATGACGTCCTCCCCGTCAGAGATGTGGACAAGCTTTGTAAATATCGGAATGTTTTCTTTCAATCACTCTTCAGCTGTGCGCAGAGCGAACAGTGCATGGGCTGCATTGTGCGCGATGTCGTCGCTGACAACTCCGAAGCTGTAGATTGTGCGTTCCGTTGTAGCGACGCAGGTAAATATATAATAGACACGATTTGGTTCTTCCAACAAAAATATTGTATAATGCTCGCGGAAGAACGATGCTTCAGTTTTCTGCAAAATCACAATGCAATACGATGGTACGAGCCTTGTGATGCAACTTTTCCGAGCTTATAGCAAACCGCTGAGCATGTCGGCTGAAGTACAGGGGAAAGTGTTTGGTTACGCACTTTCTGAGCTCATTGAAAGTTATGTAACTTCCCCTTTGTTTCTTTAGCAGTTCGCTAGATTCCCACAAAGCTACTTCGATTTATTTCTCTTTCTTCGTTGGCAACAATTCCAAGGTTAAGCAATTTCTTTTTGGACACACCTTACAGATCAGCAAAACGCACTCCTTAGTTGGTTTAGCACACAGACAAAGGACGAAAATAATTTTCGTCATTCTTTCCCAGCTCGCTCGCACCTTTGCATTTATTTGTACTATAATCATCTCTTAATGTCTTCAAGATTGAATTCTTGGTCGCCCACGTTTAATATCGCTGCCAGACAGAGATTAGTGGCTCCCTCTCTCGGTTTTGGTTAATTGTGTCTAACAAAATAAGATGAGATACCAGGTATATTTGGATGGCATACAACCTGCCGGCGAAGCAAAACCAAAGGGAAGGGCTGCGCCCTCTCGAAGGTGGCGGCACATGAGCTTTAGCTCGGACCTCCTGGTAATCACAAATTGGTTATAGCTTATTCCATTCTGTCACGGGCACGGATCGTCATATGGTAGACGTTTCTAATGTCCATAGTGACCCTGTCCCTCCTAAAAAGGTAATCACGACAGCTACATAGAGATGCGATACAGTTAAAAAGGGTGGCGGCATATGTCTATGTCCCGCTCGGCCCCGTGAATTACCCTTTTTTTTTTCCCACTTTCCGTGTAATAAAAATAGCCAATGCAGCCTACGAGAAGCTTGAAGCTGCTTATATCTCAACAAGAAAAAATAAATAAAAGAAATTAGGGAAGACGCGCTCATTGCAGAAAAGCGAAAGCAAGCGCCGAAGCGTTTCGATGCTCTATCAGAACTGATCGTTTCACCGCATATCATTCTACGATATTCGGAACGTACGTTTGGTTTCGCACAAGTAGAAGTGCCAGTAGTAAAGGCGGAGATTGGGAGGTTTCAACAAGTCTAGCTTAGCTATCGTGTAAAGGAAGTTGTTTGAAGAAAGAAAAAAAATCATGCACGCTTAGACGTGGTCGACGGGCCGTCGCTTTGAAATGTTTTCCCCCGTTTGAAAACGTCCTATATATGTTTGTTAATCTCATATGACAACGCTTAAACATTATTTAAGTCAGTTTCGATTTCTGTAGTTTACTAAGTAAGCAAACTAAACGTGCGGAAGAACCCCTTACCATGTTATACTATAAATACTTTCGATGTATAAGGTTTGCCGAGCTGTGTGTGGACTCGAGAACCAATAAAAATTATAGTCATGTTACAAAAATAACTAATATTTAAGTGAAAACGAAATGATAGAGATATGCTTTGTAGAATGGAAGTACAAATATGTCTCGTTTTCAAACGCACTGCTTAATATGACGAAACCATATATGTCAAAGAAATTTTATTGCATTTTTAAGAGCACCATAGAAAGATTTTCATATAAACATTTTGAAAAAAAAAATAAAAAAAGTATTTTCTTAAAATGACGTTGAATTTTGTATTTTTAGCTTTTCTTCTCTTGTATGCGGTGTTCTTTTTTATATAAACTATACTTAAATTAACAATATTATAATTTTTAAATAAGCTCAGATACAAGCTTTCGCTTGATATGTTTCTTATGACTTAAATAATTGTATATAAAAAACTAGCTCGATTCAAACTTGGCCCATTATTTTCAGTGTGAAACGATTCAAACATTTTTATTTTAAATAAAATAAAATAAAAAAACACACTTCTAGTGAAGTTAACTCTTCTATATAAAGTATTGAAGCAGTAAAAAAGTAATCACTAGTGAAAAAGATAAACAAAAACGTTGCGAGACTTCAAAATGTGTCACTAGTGAAAACGGGTGGTTCTCATTTGAACCCGTTCGCATTTCTACCTTCTCGTTTTTACCTTCTCATTTCAACCCAGCGCAAAACAACTTTTTCGTTTCTCCCTTTCTCATTTAAACCGTTCTCAAAACAAACTTTCGGGTTTTGACCCTTCTCAAAACGACTTTTCTCATTTTAACCTTTCTCATTTCAAATTTTCTCAAAACATACTTTCTGGTTTTGACCATTGTCAGAAAGACTTTTCTCATTTTAACCTCTCTCATTTCGAACCCAAATTAATCCAACATCATAATCTCGCAATCTTTCTGCGGTATTTATGGCGAATTCGTGTAATTAATTGCCTTGAACCCTCGTCTGTGGCACCGGCGACCAAAAACGCGCCAGCGGCGCATCCCGTGACCCTCTCCACCCGAATGCAAAGCACAATGAACTGGCGTTTTTATGTGACTGGGTCGCGAGTGAGCTCTGTTAACTTCTTCGATCATTCTATGGTACCATGAGCACGCTGCATACGCCAACAACATAAATTACGACTCTGAGATGTGTGTAAACAGAAGCGGCTTCACAAAAACTTGTCAAAATATTGGCATTACCACAGTCCGTACAGCTGACAGAATATTAAAATATAAATCATTGAAAGGGCAGATGTATAAATCAGTGTGGTTCTGCCCGCACGCGCGTCCAATTTCAATAAACTTCGTTTGGATTTTGCTTGGATTGAAATTGTAATGCGTGTTCAAGTTTCAAACTGCATCAATATGCATACTTTTTTTTTCAGTGGTGTAATAACTTGTTATTACACAGTTGTAAAATAAAGTGATGTATGATGCAGCCCGTGTCTCAGAGCAAACATAGCTTGCTCAGGCTGGATAAATTATTCCAAAAATGTTGACCTTCTTCGAAACATAAATTCTTCTTCTTCTTCTTCAATATGTGTTAAAAATAATAAATGGAGACGTTAGTCATTCTAAAGCGTGACCGGCTACTCCATTACCATTGAAGAGAATATTTCCGACATAGAAATTAAACACTTCAAACATATAGATGCAGCTATACACCTCAATGTCTCCCCCCCTCCCCCCCCCCCCCCCCCCCCCACACACACACACACCTTTCCCCTACCTATAACGGAACATAATAAAAAACCGTCTAAAGCTGAAGCCACACCGCCCACAGACCCCACAGCAATCAGCCCGCAGACACCGCCCAAGCATCGCCCGCCCCGCACACGACGGCCCGCCAGTCTACCCATACAAGATATAAGTCACATAACCTCCGGAAGCATAACTCCGCTTGAGCGACGCGACTGGACCGTCGTGCAGAGAGTCAGAGCGTCCCAAGCGTCACCCGGGGGCCGCGCCCCGCAAGGCCCGCGGGTGCGACTCCACCTTCACACTGACAATGATCCTTAAATAATAACACGCACTAGTTCTACACACCAACACGTACACGCATACATAGACACATACGATGAGAACAGTTAATGAACCGCACTTATGTTCTTGGTATGAAGTGTCACCTCGAGTCTTACCAATTGTCACCAGATTGTTCACACATACACACACATTGCTATATTCATGCATTTTACAACAAGGTTCAATATTATCAACTCAAAAGCTAGTATTTGTCGATGATATCACTGTCTTCCAGAAACATTTTTATTGCCTGGAGAGCCTGTTTCTGCATGATTTGATTGGGCCATGGCCCCAGTAATTTATTTATGGTGAAAGACCTTTTATCCAGGATATCAAACCGTACTTTTAGTTGTGACCGATTGCGATCGAAGCGAGGGCAGTTAAAAAATAGGTGTTCAATAGTTTCCACATCCTGGCCGCAAGAACATTTCGGGTCCTCAATTTCATTAATTTTGTAGCGAAATTCTCTCGTGAAAGCCACGTTCAGTCGCAGGCGGTGAAGCATGGTTTCAAATTTTCTCGGTATATCGCTTGGGATATAAAACCGTAATTCTGGATCCACCACGAAGAGAGTAGACTGCCGTCCTGCCTCATTAAACCATATGTCGACTGCCATTTCTTTGGAGTGGTGTGCAATTAAATACTTTATGTCTGTTTTCGAAAAAGGAATTCCTCGAATTCTTTCTAAAGCGTGTGCACTTGTTGCTAGTTTGTCTGCCTCCATGTTTCCTGAGATTCCGCTATGGCCTGGAATCCACTGCAGCTTTAATGAATGACCATTACTTATGGCCCGATCGATCATATCAGCTACCTGGTAGACCAATGCATATGCCGGACTTCTAGAGTTTATTGACGAAAGAGCACCGAGGGCTGCCTTGGAGTCCGTGCAGATAACCCACTGGTTTTTCGGCTCTACGTCCTTTATATACTCCACTGACGCAAAAATTGCATAAAGCTCTGCAGCAGTAGAGGACGTTCTGTGGGACAAACGAATACGTTTCTTCACTTGCATTGATGGAATTACGAAAGCTGAGGTTGAGCCATCATTTGTCGTAGAGCCATCTGTGTATACATGAATGTGGTCTCTGTAGTGATCATGCAAGTATGCCAACGCCGACTGAGCAATCACAAAATGAGATGTGCTCAGGCTTTTCTTAAGGTTGGGTAATTCCGTGTTAATATCTGCGACGCGAAACATCCAGGGTGGTCGATCTATAGTCGGAACCCACGGTGTGTAATCCGGCACGATTACGCTCGACGATATAAGTGTCGAGGAAATATGTGAGCCCGTCCTAGTTATCAAATTCTCCGCAAGTGGGTGACAGTTCTGAATGGACAAGCGTAGGAAATGACGTAAGGTCTCATGTTCGCGTAAAGTTTGAAGAGGTAGCTGTTTTGTTTCTGCTAAAACCAGTGTTCCGCGAGTTGGACGCGGGACGCCCAAGCAGATCCGAAGACTACGGGCGATCATGTAATGCAGTCTGTTTTCTTGTGTTGCAGATAATCCATGGAGTGCTGGGAGTGAATATGTAATAAGTTGCCGAACAATCGCAGAATGCAGCATTATCATGGATTTCGTTGAGGCTCCCCAACGAACTCCAGTAAAATAACGTAGAATGTTGATTGTTTTGTTTACTTTTGCCTCCAGCATATCGATGTGTTTTACCCAAGTGAGGTTTTGATCTAGAATCACTCCAAGAAAGCGATGATGCGAGACGCGTTCTAAAGTTTGACCCTGTATTTTTAGCTCGAATCCACGAAGGTGCTTCCTCGTGAACGGAAGCATTACTGATTTTGAAGGCGCAATATCCATACCCCGTTCACTTAAGAACTCGTTTAAGAGCTTCAGTCCCGCTTGAAGCTGATCCTGTAAAGTCTTTAGACAAGTGCCTGAGGCCCAGATGCAAATGTCATCTGCATATATCGTCACATGGAGTGGTGAAGGGAGGCGACCTGGAAGCAAGGCCATGACCGTATTAAATAGAGTAGGGCTTAGTACGCTCCCTTGAGGTACGCCGTGTCGGAGAGTTTGACTCGTGCTATCTCCATCTGCGGTCTTTACAAACATTGTCCGTTTTGAAAGGAAGTTTTTTATCCACCGTACGACTCGTCCTCGAATTCCAAGATGTATAAGACTATATACAATGTGGATTTGACTTACTGTATCGTATGCGCGCTTGATATCTAAAAATACAGCTATTGTGATTTTTCCGAGCGTACGTTCATGTTCTATGTACGTTACCAAATCTAAAACGCAATCCATCGTGCAGCGTTTGGGACGGAACCCTGCTAGTTCTTCCGGTAACACTTCACTCGTTTCTAGCCACCATTGTAGTCGTTGATTAATTAGCTTTTCGAAAAGCTTACCTAAGCAGCTTGTAAGGCTGATTGGTCGAAAGGAGGCTAGGTCCATGGGTGTTTTTCCCGCTTTCAAAAGCGGTATGACCTTAGCGACTTTCCATTGGGCTGGTATTTCTTCCTTGACCCAGAGAGAGTTGAACGTGCTCAAAATGAAGTTCAGCGCACGTGGACCGATGTTGGTCAATTCATCCCATGTGATCAGGTCTGGGCCAGGCGACCTGCCCCGACGTATCACTCTCAGTGCGTTTTGAAGTTCCCTCATTGTGAAAACACAATCTAGCTCCAAATGACAGGACGTAAACTCGTTATCAATTGTTTGTTTGGCATTGACACACGAGGCAAAGTATTTAAGTGTCAGAGATGCCGCGCTTGGTCGAACCAATAATTTGCAAAACTCGTCTGCTATTGTCAGTTCTGATACGCCTCTGGATAGGGCCATTGCTCGCAACGGGAACCTTTGAATAGTCGGCGCTTGGAGAGCTCTAATAATAATCCACATCCTCGTGAGGTCACTTACAGACGATAGCTTAGCACAAAGCTGTCGCCATCGATGTTTGGCAAGTTGTCTAAGTTTACGCTGTATAAGGCCGTGAATACGCTGAGCCTCCTTATAGTCCTCTATCCATCCTGAGCGGCGGTATCTTCGTTCGGCTCTGCGTCGTATTGCTCTAAGTTTTTCATACGAAGCATCAACACCTCTATAATCGGATGGAATGGATACCCATCTTGTTGCGTGGTCAAAATTTTCTTTCACAATCGAAATAAAATCGTCCAACGTATCAACGTTTTTACAGCTTAGCGTATTCAAAGATCGAAACATACGCCAATTTGTAATTTTAACTTTCCGTTGTCCATTGCGCGGTCTCGCTACCTTTCTGTGCTGGACGAGTATGGGCAAGTGGTCGCTTCCATGGGTTTCTGTATCAACATGCCATGATAAATCCGGGAAAATGTCTTGAGAACATATTGTCAAATCCAGAACACTTGAATAAGTACATCCACGAAGAAATGTCTGAGAGCCATCATTTAGCACGCATAGATTATATTTCTCTATTACATTGGCAATCAGCTTCCCTCTCCTATCATTTTGTGTGCTTCCCCACAATGTATGGTGCGAGTTAAAATCCCCACATAAAATGTATGGATCACTAAATTTTGAGAATATTGATGTTAGAGCTTCCTCCGTCACTGATGTTACTGGCTCTATATATACGCAGGCTATAATCATTGCGGTCGTGCCAAACGTGATCTTGCACGCGACGTATTCTGGCGCTTCAGACGATGATGTGCACATAATAACTGATGGTATGTCTTTCCTCACACAGAGCATTGCTCGACTGGGACCATCCCGACGGGACGAGCAATACGTGAGGTAGCCAGCTATCTTAGTTTTTGCATCTGTATGAGCTTCAGATATTGCCAGAACAGGGAACTGGTATTGCGCAACGAGCTTCCTGAAGTCTCCTATTTTAGTTCGGAGGGAATTCGCATTCCATTGGAATACAGTGGTTTCACTGTACACACTATTCATTACATCTCAGGGACCCTTGTCCCCAGAATAAGGGGTTCCATATTAAGGATCGCCTTTACCTCTGGGATGTTGACGGCGTCTGGTAGCGATCTAATGATCGCTTTCACTGCCAAAAACAGTAGCCGCATGAGAAATCGTTGATCAGTTGCTTGGCTGTCTGCGTTGACCGGGGAATCTGCACGGTATGTAGCAGACGGCGTCTCCATTGAGTGTGTCGTTTGTGATGCAGCGGGTCGTGGAGCCCTTCGGGCACCAGACGCGGTAGGCATTGGAGGTCCTGACTCGCGCTTTTCGGCTTGAGTAAGCGGCGCTGACGTCATGGAACCATTTTCATTTTTTGAAGCGGTGTTTTTCTTACTTGGTTGTCGATGTAGCACGTCTGAATACGTAGGCTTGGATGTCGACGATTTTGTGTCGTTTGGAGCTTCAGGTATTCGCACCATCTCTGGATTTGATGGTGGAGATCGTCGAGTAGGTGTTCTGCCATTTATAATTTCGGTTTTTCTTACAACTGCTGCCGCTTTTTTACTGGAGCAGCCGGAAAACGTTGCCGCGTGGCCTTGGCCGCAGTTGGCGCATTTAGGTTCAGCTCGTGAGCTGCACTCTTGATGGTGATGTGGACCTGCACATATTTTGCAACGGCGGGCACCGCGGCAGTTCTTGGCAATATGTCCAAATCGTTGACATTGGTAGCATTGAAGGGGAGAACCGAAGTACTCTTCCACTGGGTGGCTGGTGAACCCCAAGTATACCCTGGGAGGCATCGGGTGGTCCTGCGTGAAGCGAAGTATGACGCTATCTTTGGGACGGGCCACTGAAGAGCCATCTTCTTGTCTTTGGTATGCAACCTGTCTTTGGACAGTTAGTACACCACTGTCTTTTAAGTACTCCAATAGATCACTATCGGAGTATTGGAGAGGAACTCCTTTGATTTTGCCCATGTTTTCGGGGTAGGACCTTGGAGTGGTTGCCCTTACCTCGATTCCCGCGAGGGATGTTTGCGCAAGCAGTTTATTTGCCGCAGGGAGGGACGCTACACTGACCGATAGGCTGCCATCCTTGGCGATTCTGTGTGAGAGTATTTTCTCCTGTGCTATTCCCAATACCTCTCGTGCCAGGACATTCGGGTTCACCTTCCAGAAGGAAGTCTCCTTGGACGTCGGATGAAAGAGTATTGGGATACCTGCTGGTCGGTTTTTCTTGTAAGAGACGATGGTAAAACCCGCGTCATCGTCGTTGTCATCCATGCTTTCCTGTAACGTGTAAGTCGAAGTCGCCGCTTCCGATGGAGGATCTGACCTCTGCGGGTCGAGTCTGCATGCACCTTCAACGCGCTGCCGTTTGATGGGAATGACGGCTTCCGCCTGCACATCTGAGTGGGTAGTTGGGGGCGTCGGTGGCAGCTCTTGGGAGGGTGGATTTTCATTGGGTGAAGGTGATTTACCTTGTTCCTGGGAGGGTGGTATTTGTTCCATGGTGGCGGGTGGCTTTATCAATGGAATGGCATCGGGTTGCGACGGCAATGGCAATTTGCCGGCCGTCGACGCCCGTTTCTTGGTGTTCAGACTTGCCGGTGCGGATGCCAAGTTAAATATACAATCCTTGCGACTTGAATAACAATTGAAAATGATATAAGAATGGCCAATTTGGGAAAAATAAGCTGAGAGCCACAAAACTGCGACAGGCTGTTCCGAGGCTTCTTCTTCTTTTTCAACATAAATTATCTTTCTCTTCGTTGTTTTTGCTATCTTGTCTCAGAGCACAAAAGGGTGCCTGTCTCGATGGCTTCGTTTGCCACTCGAACCCGCTATTTGCCGCCTCAGCGAGCATTGTTTCGTTTGGTTCCCTATCCCGATTCAAATGTGACGATACCGGATACAGTCTGGCAGACAAGCTGCCCGACCTCTTGGAGCTCGGGAAAACTTCTGCTGGTAAATTGCCGGTACACGCCTGAGAAGCGCAACCCGAAAAGGTTGCACCCGCCAGCCTTTGACCACGCGAACGCCCTTGCCAAAGATATGGAAAAACTTTTTTTTTCAGGGAAAATGACCACCCGAATTGGCCATAACAAGCAATAACACACGACAAGCAATAACACACGGATGGATCATTGTGCAATAGCACAATGATCCATCCGCTCCACACGACATCTTAACGACATGCAGCGACAGAAGAGAAATGAAGTACCGAATCTGCGCTAGCATTTTTGAAGCCACGTCAGCATGTGACCACGTAGCTACGTCAACAGATTCGGGGTGCACAGGATAAGGACAATTGTCTCATGTGCTATGCAAGCGATGGTGCCGCTTCGCTTCATCTTCAACCTTCATCCTCAACTGTTTTTCCTTCTTTCTATACCTCACTACGGTGTTCAAATGACAACGGGTTCAAATGAGAAAGGGTCGAAACGCGAAAGGTTAAAACGCGAAGGGCGTTTTGCGAATGGGTTCAGGCGAGAAGGGTTCAACTGAGAATGGGTTCAAATGAGACGGGTATAAATAAGAAAGGGTCGAAACGCGAAAGGTTAAAACGAGAAGGGCGTTTCGTGAATGGGTTCAAACGAGAAGGGTTCAAATAAGAATGGGTTGTTTCGAGATACACCCAGTGAAAACTGCAAAAATCGCAAGACCTATCTTCTGCTCTTTCAAAGCCCAAAACTGTAAAACAAAAACATTTGCGTTGTTCTACTTTTCAGTTTTGTTCCAGTCACACATTTGTCCACCAACATACATTTTTTTTTCTCCAGAATTGTTGGAGGACCCATCATTTTTTCTTGCACGATGTGAGACGAAATCACCCAAAAACACAGCCGCTCGATCTCACCTTGTTGCGACGCAGGCACTCATCTCCCTGTCCTTGGAATCCAGGCAGGCAAGTCCGAAGTCAGCCAGCTTCAGGATGCCCCGACTGTTCACCAGCAGGTTCGTGGGCTTCAGGTCCTGGCACGGCGGGGCGACACATTCTCAGTAACGCCATCACCCGTCTTTCACATCCCTAGAAGAATTCCGACGCCCCGGACACGTTCTAATAAAAAGGCCGCAGTGGCTGGGCTTCTCACGTAACCACCGGAGGCCAAGGCGGGGCACAGACACGTGTTCAATCAGTGAGGATACGAGTGTCATCCGAACGGTGACGCCGCACTCGTGTCCAATCTGCGCCCAGCTCTGGCCCCTTGCGGGTGACGTAAGAAAACCCTGCGCTTAGGCCTTGATACATATAGGAGGTGCCGCTCCGCAAACAAAGTGCCGCTCCGCATACCATCTCTTTCTTGCTCCCTCCAAATTTCACGTGGTAGATGTGGCGGGACCAAGGGACAAGACGCTGCCACGGCCGCAGTACACCCTTTTCGGGGGGCGTGCAAGCTGTGCCCGTTCTCACCTCAAATGTTAAGCTCCACACTCCCGCATTTGTTAAACAGCCTTAACAGCAATAACATTGATCTAGAAAGTCTAACCTTTGGAGACTTGCGCTTATTATATGCTTGTACGTAATCATTTGCTCTTTTAACATTTGCAAAAGGTGCTTTTAGTTTTGTCCACTGATTTCTTACATCATTGCCTCTACACGCTATTATGTTGTTTTTTGTTTGTTTTCCCGCGCGCTTCCTGCTGTCCATTGTAGGGAGGGGCCCAGGGACTCGTCAAGCTGCTTACTGCAGCTTTTTTTTTTTCTTGGGCCCCACCATCATAAAGGATGGAAATAAAGCATTAAGTCCCGTTCACATACATGCAACCGAGTAAGACCGAAAGAGACCAGACCGGTTTTTAAGCCTCTTGCGATCTCTTAGGACCAGCTCCGCCGGAGCGCATCCGGTCCTATAAGAAGTCGCAAAAGGCTTAAAAACCGGTCTGGTCGCTCTCGGTCTTACTCGGTTGCATGTATGTGAACGGGCCTTTGTTATTATTATTAAGAACCGTAATAAAAAAAGTCCGTCTCCTCGTGGAGCATTCGCAATTTCCCTTGAAGGTGCATTTTTGAATTTTAGATTAGGCATATATGTTATCTTCTCAATACACCTGATCCCAACCGCTAGAGCTAGATTCTGGTGGAGACTGAGCTGGCTGAGCATTCGCCTATATGTATGCATTTATTTATTTATTTCGAATACCCTCAAGGCCAGTTGGCATTACAGAGGGGAGTGGGGGTTAGTAAGGCGATTATTTATAACGCTCCGAAACAAGGTGCCGTCGCTGATGGTGACGATATTCTCCGGGAAGTCGTTCCAGCTCACAATGGCGTCCGGAAGGGCAGAATAAAGGTAAGCCGTTGAGTTGCATTTGGGCCGGGCTATCTTGCAGGGATGATCAAACCTCGGAGAGATGTAAGTAGGCGGGTGAAGCAGGGAGTGATGTAAGATTGGGTGGTAATAAATCTTGCGCAAAAGACATAGACGGGACATGTTACGATGAACAGAAAGATTGGGGATGTCAAGCTGGGCTTTCATGGCAGACACACTGGAGAAACGTGAGTAACCAGACAGGATGAAACGATAATTAAAATATGGCAACCAACCAATTCCTAAACATGTAGGGGCCCTATACGTTTCGAACCGACTCGGTTCTTCGTCAGGGGCGACTGTGGCCGTTGAGGAGCGACGTTTTTCGATCTTCTTTTTCTTTTCTCAGGGATGTGGCGCATTTCTCGATCTTCTTCTTTCATGAATATGGCGAAGCCCGTTCACATACACTGTTGGTAAAGCACCAAGGCACCTATTTATGTTGCCTGGCGTCGTTTGAATATGCCAGGACTCGACGAAAAGCCTATGTCGGTTGTTAGTCTCTGCGTCGATAATGCTGGTGTTGTCGAAGTCAATCCGGTAGTCTGACTTCGCAGTGCTCGGCGACTGCGCTGCGCTCGTGGTCGAGCTTGCGAACGTCGTTTTTGTGTTGGCGTATTCTTTCATTAAAATTCTTTGTCTCGCCGATGTAAGTGGCTGGACAATCTGCACAAGGGATCTTATAAACCACGCCCTGCGTTTTTTCTTTCGGAGGGCGATCATTTGGACGGGGCATGAGTAATCCAAGCGTGGACATCGGCTTGTGGGCTACGCGGATTCCTTCTTTGGCTAGCACGCGTGCAAGCGCCTCGCTTGTTCCTCTGATGTAGGGTACGCAGATGCGCGAGGTTGGGCGTGGCTGCGTACAGGCTTGTGGTTGCTGTTGTCTTTGACCTCGAGCTTGACGACGGGCAACGCGTTGGATGAAGGTGCTCGTGTATCCGTTCTTTTTCAGATCAGCACGGACGGTTTTTTCTTCCTTTCTTCTGTCATCCTCAGAGGAGCATATAGCCTTCGTCCTAGACAGCAGTGTCCTAACCACCGATGCTTTGTGGCAGGCTGGGTGATAGGAATCAAACTGGAGATAACGTCCAGTGTGCGTGAGCTTCCTGTAGACTGAAAACTTTAAATTTTCTTTTTCTCCTCTCACGAGCACGTCCAAAAAAGGCAATGAATTGTCTTTTTCAAGTTCCGCTGTAAATTGGATAGCCGCTTCGATGGAGTTGAGGTGTGAGAGGAATCTGTCCACTTCAGATCTTTGAAGGATGCAGAAGCAGTCGTCCACATACCGCACAAATATTTTGGGCGCAGTGGCGAATGACTGCAGGGCCTCTTCCTCAATGGCTTCCATGCACAGGTTAGCCGTGGTAACGGAGACAGATGCGCCCATGGCGGTTCCGCTGGCTTGTTTAAAATACTCTCCCTTGACGCTAAAGTAGGTGTTGCTGAGGCAGAACTCAAGGAGGCGGCACAGTTCCTCCACACTAAGGGCGGTCCTGTTGTGCAGGTCTTTGTCTTTTTCGAGAGCCTTCCTGGCAGCTGTAACTGCCAGGGGAACCGGCACACTTGTGAAAAGTGAGATGACGTCAAAAGAGACTAGGCTTTCCTCAGCGCTCACCTTCAATTTCGAGATGCGCTCCACGAAGTCGCTGGAGTTGCTGATATAAGTCGTCGTTTTTCCGACGAGAGGAGAGAGAGAGGAGAGAGGAGAGGAGACGAGAGAGAGAGAGAGGAGAGAGAGAGAGAATTTACAGCGGAACTTGAAAAAGACAATTCATTGCCTTTTTTGGACGTGCTCGTGAGAGGAGAAAAAGAAAATTTAAAGTTTTCAGTCTACAGGAAGCTCACGCACACTGGACGTTATCTCCAGTTTGATTCCTATCACCCAGCCTGCCACAAAGCATCGGTGGTTAGGACACTGCTGTCTAGGACGAAGGCTATATGCTCCTCTGAGGATGACAGAAGAAAGGAAGAAAAAACCGTCCGTGCTGATCTGAAAAAGAACGGATACACGAGCACCTTCATCCAACGCGTTGCCCGTCGTCAAGCTCGAGGTCAAAGACAACAGCAACCACAAGCCTGTACGCAGCCACGCCCAACCTCGCGCATCTGCGTACCCTACATCAGAGGAACAAGCGAGGCGCTTGCACGCGTGCTAGCCAAAGAAGGAATCCGCGTAGCCCACAAGCCGATGTCCACGCTTGGATTACTCATGCCCCGTCCAAATGATCGCCCTCCGAAAGAAAAAACGCAGGGCGTGGTTTATAAGATCCCTTGTGCAGATTGTCCAGCCACTTACATCGGCGAGACAAAGAATTTTAATGAAAGAATACGCCAACACAAAAACGACGTTCGCAAGCTCGACCACGAGCGCAGCGCAGTCGCCGAGCACTGCGAAGTCAGACTACCGGATTGACTTCGACAACACCAGCATTATCGACGCAGAGACTAACAACCGACATAGGCTTTTCGTCGAGTCCTGGCATATTCAAACGACGCCAGGCAACATAAATAGGTGCCTTGGTGCTTTACCAACAGTGTATGTGAACGGGCTTCGCCATATTCATGAAAGAAGAAGATCGAGAAATGCGCCACATCCCTGAGAAAAGGAAAAGAAGATCGAAAAACGTCGCTCCTCAACGGCCACAGTCGCCCCTGACGAAGAACCGAGTCGGTTCGAAACGTAGGGCCCCTACATGTTTAGGAATTGGTTGGTTGCCATATTTTAATTATTGTATTCCCCAACCAGAGAGATTTCTCTCAAATGTTTAGTTTCAAGGATGAAACGAACGGCGCAATTCTGAACAGACTCAATTTTGTTTTCTAAAATTAGTTGATGAGGACTCCAAATCGAAGACGCATATTCTAATTTAGGGCGGACAATGGTAGTATAAAGAAGACGTTTCAGGACAGGAGAGGCAGACTTGAACTTGCGGCGTAAATATCCTAAACCGCGGCTAGCCGATGCAATGGTGTTAATATGAGCATGCCAGGGGAGATCAGAAGTAACGTGAACACCTAGATACTTATACTCATTAGTATAAGTAAGGGCCGTACCATGGAGAGTGAGGTTCGGCTGGGGGCAAGATGGAGGACGGGAGAAACACATGCATTTACATTTATCAATGTTAAAAGTCATCTGCCACGTAATGCACCAGTCGGCTATTTTATCAATGTCCGTTTGCAAAGTTAGGGAGTCATCGGGGTTTGTTATTTTTTTGTACACAACACAATCATCAGCGAAGAGAAGAAGAGAGGAAAGAATGTGAAGTGGGAGATCATTTATGTATATTAGGAAAAGGAGAGGGCCCAAGAACAGTTCCTTGAGGGACGCCAGAAGTAACAGGAATGGCAGGGGAAGTTGTGTTGTAAGCATAAACAGACTGAAAACGCTCAGATAGGAAAGAAATAATCCACGCCAGTACTTGAGGGTCAATGCTTAACGCGTAGATAATTTATAAAATAAAAGGTTATGTGGGACCTCATCAAAGGCTTTGGCAAAATCGAGAAACACAGCGTGAGTAGGATAACCGGAGTCCATGTTCTGAAAGAGGTTGTTAGTATAAGGCCGGCAAGTTGGGTCTCACAGGATAGGGACTTGCGAAAACCATGCTGAGAGCTGCAGAAAAAGTTGTTTGAATCTAGAGAGGTATGAAGATGTTTGGCGATGGTATGCTCCAGAATTTTAGAAGATATGCAAGCTAGGGCAATTGGCCTATAGTTGAGAAAGGATGTTTTAGCGCCGTTCTTGTGAACTGGGACGACCTTGCCGAATTTCCAGTCATCAGGTACCTCCCCCGTCTCCAGCGATTGTTGGGATATTCTGGTGAGAAAAAGGGCAGATGTCAGCTTTGTGCTACGAAGTACTTTAGAATTTATATTATCGAAGCCACAGGACGAGGACATTTCCTTAGTTCTCACCGTGACGTCACTTCCTATACTCCCGCCCGCTGACCGAACGCTGCCGTCGCCGCGCTTGTGCACCGCTCGATTACTAACTTCGCTACGAAATTTGTATCGCCCGACAGCTCGATGGCGAAAGCTATTCGCCAGGAGTTCTGCCCTTCCTTTCTCGAAGAGCTTGTGGGCCCCACACGGCTCGGTATGAGTCTAAAGTGAAGATGTGCGACGGCGTCGATCTGTGCACGCTATACGCGTCGGCGCGGACACCACTTCAGACGCGGACGTGCTGCAACACGACGTGTTGCTGCAACAGATGAAGGCCTTCAAGGCCCTGGATGCCCATAACTATTTCACGAGTGGATGGGCAAAGAGCATGACAGCGAGGCGTCTCCCGTCGAAGCGTATCGTCGTGCTGAGAGAGGCGAGTTGACAGGCTATAAAACAAGCGTCTTTATGAGGGCCGAAGGATTGCCTGCAAACGAAGAGATGTGCCCGTACTTGCCGCATTAGAATTCGCAGCATCTTAGCTGGATAAACTCGGCGCCGCCGCCGCAACCCCATCGACACAAGTCACAAGTGTGCTACAATCACTACACAGTTACAGAAACGCTGCGAGAAAGATAAAAGTACTGTACATCACTGCAGCATGACGCTATACCAGACAAAAAGCATTGCCTCGGCCGCTATGGCCATGCGCACTGCAGGGTGCGAACAGAAGCATCCAGCAATCCACGTACAGTTGAGCAACGTGTTTCTTACCGGTAATGAAGTGACGACCGCACACATGGACACTTCCGATGTACGCGAGCAAGCCAGAGGCTTCGGCGTTTTTGGGACAGCAACTATGTTAGCTCACACTGTCGCGTTATCACCTTTGGCAAACGGCGCAGCTCTACACCTGGCTCTGTGTTACTCTGCTTTGCCGAGGACTTGCTTCTGCTTCGGCAGCCGAACATCACGCACATCGGCATGACTGCACCACTGCAAGCGCGACCGTACACCAGAAGACAGAAACTTGCAGTGTGTGCGCCGAAAACGCCGTAGCGACACAGTTAACGCCGATTCTGAACCCGAAGCTATGTCAGTACCTGGTAATGGCGCTGACATATCCCATAAGCCCCGGCTGTGACGTCAGTGAGAACTATGTATAGCTTATTTTTGTAGTGTTTCAACCTTGCCACTCGTGTCGGGTCGAACGCCAAAAAACATATCGCCACCGCATGACGCCTTCCAAGCATCTTAAACACTCTTTAGTTCAGTCTGACGAACGCAGAGCTAATAAAATGGTGTGCGGTCATTAAAATAAAAAAAAATATTGCGAGATAGGACCGCGAGTGGCTAGCCGACGCCCCATGGAGCGCTGCTGCTCGGATGGATGGATGAATGGATGAATCCGGCTGAGTCCTTTGGATTGGGAGGTAGCTTCGCCACCAAGCCATTTTGTTTTGCCACTTAAGCTTAGAATGCTTAAATGTGAAAACTATATTCACTCCGCACTGAAAAGAAAGTGAGGCTATAAAACCCCCTTGCCATCAGTTAATAAGAAAATACCTAGCTTTCTCTCGCTTTCTGCCACCATTCATTTAACCTTTGCTTGGTAATCTCTACTGCCTTGAAATCCACACTTCCTTCGCTGTCTCTAAAACCCAATGACAATATTAAATCTATGTTGTCTTCAGTAGGCATAGGGTGAAGCCCTTTAGAGTAGAGTATCAAGCGCTCAGCCGTCTCGTCCTCCTCTCCACAAGCAGTGCACACTGTATTCATTTCCTGGTACTTCGCTCTGTATGTTCTGATTCGCAGAACACCCGTCCTCGCCTCAAGCAACAATGAGCTTCCCCTAGAATTATCATAAATGCTTTTTTTGGCAATAACTGTTTTGTTTTATCTATAGCTTTCCAGAGCCGTCTTTGTCTGCATTCCCTCTAGCCACCAATCTCTTTCTGTGGCCTTAACTTTCTTCTTAACTGAGACTTGCTCTTCCGTATCTTCGCTATAGCCTAAAAACTTTCCTCTTAATTTGCTAGTGCGCTATCTCCACTATGTGTCTATACTCCTCATGTATAAATAGCTGAAAACCTTTCGTGCCCATTGCTCCCCATCCATTTGCTTCAACCGATCCTCAAATTCTATCTTGCTCACCGCTTCCCTGCTCCAAAATGACGCCCATCTCTTGTCTCCTTGTACTCCCTGGTTTGGCGTTTCGCAATGTGCCCCCAAAGCCAGTCTACCTACTCCGCGCTGTTTTATTTCTAGTCTCGCATGCACTTCGGATTTCATGCATAGCACTGCGTTTCCAAAAGTCAAGCCAGGCACCATGACCCCTTTCCAAATCTCTCTCACCACCTCATACCTGTTGTAATTCCAAAGTGCTCTATTTTTCATTACAACTGCATTTCTGTTGCCCTTACCTATTATATACTTTTCACGCTCACTGAGATATTCTGCACCATCACATATTCATACTCCTAGATACTCGTATTTACTAGCTCTCTCAACTGTAATATTCTGTATCTTCAGCCTCTCAACTTTATCATCGTTAAAAATCATGACTGCTGATTTTTCACTACTGAATTCTAAATCGGATGGATGGATGGATGGATGAATACGGCTGAGCCCTTTGGATCGGGTGGTAGCTTACGCCACCTAGCCATTTTGTTTTACCATTTAAGCTTAGAATATTTAAATGTGAAATCTATATTCACTCCGCAATCGGGGAAACTACGGCAGCGCCACACAGCGGCATCCGCTTCGAAGGCCTCACGGAGAGAGCGCCGCATTTGCCACTACACCCGTCTAGACTCTAGAACAATGTACTTGCTGTGCGGCACTGCTTGAAAATTGTCTATTCGTAGCGCGCACCTCATAAGCTTGCTTGCAATGGTCTGAACGTCGCTACAATTAGATCAGCCGATTAAACAACGTGAAAAGTGCATCGTCACGGCGATCGTCGTGACGACGCATTTTTGGCGCTGCTTAATTGGCGGAACGCTGCGGTCCGCAATATTTCTTCTTTTGTTGTTTTCACCGGGTTATTGCTGAGGACGACGGGCACCAAGCTTATGAAGCGGCAAACGACCTTTATGTTCATTTCTGCCCCTGCAGTCTCAGGTATATTCAACACGGCAAGCGTACCCTGTGCAGAATGCCCATGGCGTGGCAGTGCCCCAGGCCCTTGAGGAGCATTCGCATGCAGCACTTGACGTGCGCCTCCTTCAGTGGCCGCTCCGGGTTGTGGATCAGCGTGGACAGGTTGCAGCGGAGCAGCTCCAGAACCAGCACGACTCCGCTGCTGCTGGCAACCACGTCGAGCAGTCGTATCACCTGCGTAACGGACATTGGGGACATCGAGAGAGACAGGCCGATTGCAGGCACTGTAGATATGGATCGGTATTTGAACTTTTTTTAACGTACGTTATTTTTTGCGCTTGAAAGGGGATGCAAACTTGCGAGTTCGTATAACGAGAACTTGGTCAAGGAAGTGACGCCTCTCTCGGATATAAGTCAGGGGACGTGGCGTCAGGTTACGTCAATTGATGTATATACACCGATTCAGTTTCCCCGCTAAATTTGGCGAGGAAGTTGATGTCACTTGACCTGACGTCACGTGAACTCTATACGAATTTAGTTTCCCCGCTAAATTTGGCGAAAAATCCCCCCCCCCCTCCACCTCTGTGCACCATGACTTGGGGTGCGGAGGGGGGGAGGGGGCGTCAAAATCCATGTGTATGAGGAGAGAAAATCGTCTGCTTCTAGGACAGGAGTTGCGGTGACGTCAGAACAACGCCGAGCTCTGATTGGATTTGAATAAAAGGATAATGGGTAGACCTCGATGCTTGACGCCTTAAGGTCTACCCACTATTTTTTTTTTCTTTTTTTTTTCAATCAGCCAATAAGGGCTCGGCGTTCTGACGTCATTGCAACCCCTGCAAAGAAGCAGACGAACTTGCGCTCCGCATAGGTGCCTTTTTTTTGTGTGTACTCTCGTCCCCAGCCACCTAATAGGCGTATCCGGTATGGGCGGCGAAAAAATAATAAAACGTTTCAACCTGTAATGTGTGACGGTTACGCTTATATCCTAATTGTCTACTTGGCGTGGCGACGGCAAACCAATGTTTTCGCCCATGCTGGAATTGACGAAATGCAAGATGGCGACGCTTTTGCTAGATTTTTGGGGGGGGGGGGGGGGGGGGGAGCCTCACAAGTTTCCTTCCTAGCTACGTCACTGGTCGGTGACAATTTAAGAGTTCAGGGGACGCTCCTTTTATCCCTTTCCACCTTAGCAGAGCGAACGCCGGGGAGGCTGTGGGGACCGGTGTGCGGCAGAGGTTCTCATCTGGAAGCCGGAATCGTGAAGGACCAGGGAGCAAGAGGGGTGCCTCGTATAACTGTCTTTATGTGCACATTGACAGGCTACATCAACCGAAGAGCGCTGGAGAACGTTCGAGAACACATTCGAGAACACGCTAGCAGCCGCCCGCTGCCCCTTTTACAATCTCTCATTTCCCCACATCCCTAACAGGGAATCCCCAAGGTTGAGGCCTTGACCAAAACTGTAGGGCCATTGTTCCTCGCATCCAGCCTCCAGGTGCGCCATTTCCCTCTCCCTCACACACTGCCACTCGCGTCACGCTCGTCACCGAAAGGCCAACGTCCTTGGCCGCGATGTCGCCGGTCAACCTCGGCGGACAGTGGCGCCATCAAAGTCTGGAAGGAGGAAGAGGTGTCTTGGCTTCCCTACGTTAGGGGATAATCCCATAGGCCCTCCAAGCCGGGGAAACTGAAAGGGCGTAAAGTCCTCTCCTTCGTCCAGGGCGTCCCAAGGCTGTAAAGTCGCCGTGCGTCGAGGCCAGACTGAAGCAGCGAGGAGTGGGGCCGGAAGGTAAATACGATTCGATGACGCTGGCGTGTGTCAACTCGATGACCCTTCGTTGGAGGCCACGTCATCCCTTCGTTAGGGACATGCTGGCGACCCCAAGGCGCCTCTGGCCTTGCTTCCGGGCACAGCTGGCCATCACCACCTGGCGACGACGCTCCAGCGCGTTCACCTGTGGTGTTCGAACTGTACGGCGCAACTTGTCTTCCGGGGCCTTTCACTACAAGGCTCTCCAGCGTTCGCTCTGCTAAAGTGGGGAGAGGTGGGAGGAGCTTCCCCTCAACTCTTAGCCGAAAATTTGATGAAACTATTTCTTTGTGTGTGTGCGTGTGTGTGTGTGTTGGTAGTGTATAACGATTGTGATTTATACACACACCCATTTTCCAACCTCCCCCTCCCATCCCCAAAAAACCCCTTGGAGTGTGTACCCGACGCTCCCACGTAAATACCTTGCACCCTGGAGGGTGTAAAAGGTGCTCTTGCTCCCATGACAGTGATAGACCCCCTCTGAACAGTAATACACTCCTTATATTTGAAAGTAGAGTGTTGTTGCATGGAACACTCCTTATACTTGAGGAGCATAAAAAAGGGTGTTGAAAAAAGCGCTGTGCTGCGGTGCAGTGCAGCGAAGCGACAACGTACACCTCCTTCAAAGAGCTTCAACAGAGGTTGTTTTGGTGACAACGTCGAATCATTATCGCCTGTATGCATTATTTAGTCTAGAAGGTATATTCCTTGATACACTGAGAAAGTATTTTTTATGTTAAATACTGTTTATGAAAAAGCAACATATACTCGCGCGCCCTTATTGACTTCTAAGAGGCGGTCACGGCGAAACGTCATGCCATATACGTTTGTTGTTTACAGGTATGCAAAAATTGTATGTGGACGTAGGGAGTGCCGTGCCCCCTTTAGGGTGCTCTCTGACACTGTAAAGCTGCCATTGAACTGCTGTGCGCAATCACATAAAAGACGTAGTGTTCGCTCGAGACATGATGACAGAATGTTCGAAACATGTTGGCTTTATGCATACCGGCTGTTTCTGCGAAAACTCTCAAACATTCCTAAAATTAGGGAGCTTGAGAAACAAAAGAAACTATTTTCGGGAAGAAACTGCCAGCCACGGCGAACGTCAAGGATTGCAAACAACAGTAGCGACAGCAACCACAACAACATCGTCATCATCATCATCCTGCACTCTCAAGAAAAAAAAGGGTGTATCGTAACACCCTTTGTCCCATATAATACACCCCAAAACTTCATTTCGACGTATTGAGCCATTTAGTTGAACATACGGCCCCAAACTTTACTATGGGCTTGATAACAGTGCGATATAACTATTTGTATCAAAGATATAAAGAAAACACCGAGTTTTTACGGTACGGCCAAGAAAACCCCGATTAGTTTTTTTTTTGTAGTCAGTAAAACGTACATTATCTATATTAATAAGTTCTACCACACGGCTATCAAGCCCCTCGTAAAATTTTGGGCCGTCTGTTCGACTATAGGGCGTTGTACGTCGAAATGAAGTTTTGGGGTATATATGGGACAAAGAGGGTAAGAATACACCCTTTTTTCTTGAGAGTGTGTTTAGCAAAATATTTACCTAAAATGTATTACAATGAGCTTTTATGACTGGTGAAAATGAACATACGGTTCCAATTAGAAACGTGCTGAGCGTTATTAAAAACCCCATATGTGGGTCAAGTCTAGAACGACCCGGAGCCCGTGGGAAGCGCGGGGATGCGCTTCTGTTCCCCGAAAAGGTTTTTTTTTTTTTTCTCAAACACCCTAGTTTTACTAATGCTCGAAAGTCTTCGCAGAAACACCCGGTTTGTCTGCTTCGAACATGTCTTGAATACAGTGTTTGTACGGCCAGCGTGACAATGACGTCACGCTGGAATGTCCTGGAACAAAAACAAAAGCACAATATTTAGGTCGCGAGACTCATTTTATGTGTCGCGACGTGCATCTACTCATGGGATGGATGGATGGATCCATCCATCCATCCATTTATCCATCCCATGAGTAGATGCACGTCGCGACACGTAAAATGAGTCTGGCGACCTAAATACCCTTTAAAGGGGCGATAGCTCGCGCCACCTAGACTCCAAAAAACTTTTCAAAAAAAAAAAAAAAAAAAAGGGGGGGGGGGAGGAGCAAACGTCAAATTTGACGGCGTTGGTGTTCTAAGCACGATGGCTTCAAGATTCCGCCGTGCTTTTTACACCTACCATCGAGCTTGTCGTTTGCATTTGATAATCCTAGTCATGCCGTCACAAATACTGGGTGTCACAAAAAAAAAAATTTACAGGGCTTTTTTTTATCGCTAAAATAAAGTAGGCATCGCCGAACGCTCATTTTCCGCCCAAAGGTAGCAAGCACTAGAGGCCACAACCACATGCCAAAGTTTCAGCCCGATGCGAAAACCTTATTCAAAAGTTATAGGTGATCTTCAGGAAATTTCGATGGGAAAATGGAGCCCATTTTTGCCCGTTTTCGGTTTCTGGTGCCATAGAGCCCCATGTATTCGAAAACTCCGTGGGCCGCCATTTTCCCATTGAAATTTTCAGAAAATCCTTTACAACTTTTGAATAAGGTATCGAATCGGGCTGAAACTTTGGCGTCTGGGTGTGACTTCTAGCGCTACCTTTGGGTGGAACATGAGCGTCCGGCGATGCCTAGTTTATTTCTGCAATAAAAAAAACACAAAAAAACTAGTTTTTTTTTTTTTTTTTGTTATGCATCGTACGAAAGATACGATACTCGCTGCAGACACGATGACACGAGTATGTGCCAGCGCCTCCTTCCAAGCACGTTTGCTTCATACATGCTTCGGACATCTGTGAACATGCAGACAGTCTTTGCTTGACCGACGTGGCGGGACCGTTGTGCAAAGGCTTAGGCTATATAGGTGGCGCAAGCTACCGCCCGTTACAAAGGGTATATCCATTATCATCCATCCATCCATCCAAGAGGAAACACACACCAGACATTGTATGCAGACCGTCTATTTCCTGCATCTATTTGGAGATCACGTGCCAAAAAAAAAAAGCGCGTTTCGGAATTGTTCTTTAGTGAAAATTCGTCTCACGAGAACGATCCTGTGGGGTTGTTCTCGTAAGGCGTTATATGATTGACGACCTCCTCGTCTACGCTGCACAAGTTCGGCGTTGGCAGTTTGGATGTTTGCTTGCAGTTTTTGGATTTGGTGCGAAAGAACCCCGACTACTCTTTGTGCTAAAAATACGGCAAGATGTCTTCGAAGCCTCTCTTACCTTTTTAAAAGTTGTCACCCGAAGGGTGTGAAGGCCGGCTTTGTATAAAAATTGATGAGAAATGCTATAAGTAAACCTTGTTTCCGTTCAATAGGGAGTCAATGGCTTTCTGACTGCTTTTATATGGCATGCAGTTGGTTAACCTATAGTTTCCCTCAAGAAGAAAGGAC